CACCATCGCTAACCTCACCCAGTCACGTCTTTCGTGAAAACTCAAGAATCTCCCAACTTCTCGCCACAGACGCCGTCGACCGTTTCACCTAAAGTCCGGTACACAACGAAGCTACGAAGTCCCTCGTACATGCTGTCAAGCGCGTCTCTTTTCGTTCGTCTGCGCGGCAGGAGAATTATGAGAGCAATCCATCGCGCGATAAATTCCCTCCAGCATCATCCTTCGCGAACCCCGTCTACCTCTTTGTCTCGTACGTCCTGCCGTACCAGCTCGAGGATAAGGAGGAAGCAAAGGAGAAGGCGATAAGAAAAAAAAAAGCATATTCAAGAGTGAATTCGATCCAAGCGAAATTACGAAGTCACGAGACAGTAGGGGCAGCGCGTCTCGCCGGACGATCCTCGGGTCTCCTTTTCACGACGCGTAAGAGTCTGATTGACGTCGGCACATTGAAACGCGTAAAGAACGCTATCGTCAGTGGCGACATAGGAAATGCGGACGCGTCTCCTCATTACCACACGAGCCATTCGATGCATCGATGGGAACGATTAGCATTTTCAATGTAGCGACGGGAAAGACGCGTTGTGATTCATCAAAACGAATTACGTACTCGATGCGATTAATAAGCGACGCGCAGGGAAACTGGTGCGCGCAGTGCGCATGCGCCCCCATCGAAGCAGCGAACGCGGACCGATGATACTTTCATAGGTACGCTAAACAGAAAGAAAAGAAGTCTGAAAACTCGCCCCGAGACTTTAGGCGATCACGCGGAGGCATTTTCGACGCGATGAACGATCGGCGTCTAAACGGCAAGGCGGTTCGAAGGATTTTAACGTGAATAACAAGGGAGGCAAAATTGATTCAATTTCAGTATAGCTTTACGGTGGTAGGGTGAGTCGGGGAAGGAAAGGGGTTTGTCCGTCGACCTAGACAAAAGGATGAAATTACGGAATGAGCTTGTTAACATAATTATAATCGATCCCGTGATAACCCGACAATTATCGATATCGACAAACGTCGAGGTTAATCGCTCTTATACGTCGCGAAGTGGACGACCGAGAAGAAGGGAAAGAAGCGGAGGGAGAGGAAAACAGCTGATTAATCGATTCGGGATAAGGAAAGGTCCAGGAGCGAAGATTGAAGCGTCCTACAAGAAGTCAGAGGACCTCCTTTTTTACGGTCTTCCTATCATACACGATCCCCGTATCAGCTACCCTGATTATCACCGAAGAAACAACAGCCCTCGTATTAAATATCAATCTCACGAAAATCGCTAAAACTTCACGTGCGCTGCACATTTTTGACAGGGGAGTTTCCCTCTTTGCGTCAATTCGATCGACAGCTAATTAAACGAGTAGTAGGAAATTGCCAATATTTCCTAAAAATCAACTGCGGACGTATACGTTAATATATAACGAAGCTATTCAGTTCAAACGCAGCAACTCAAGTTGATTTTACTATAGGAATCCAAGGGACGGGGGAACTTCAGTTGAGGCGTTTGAGCCGATTAATCGTATATGCAGATAATTGAATATATACATTTATACATATATACAGGTACATACAGAGACTGATGATCAAAGCTCGCATATCAAGTATATTTATGTATACAAAAATTGTCTAATCTTGTGTAATTGATATTTTGATAATATTTATCTGCTGCCCCCCCCCCCCCCTTCAAAGTCCTATATCATTATCCCGAATCGATGATAAATCGTGTAGACGAGATCGAATGCAGATGCGGCGCCCGATAGTCGCACAGTGCAGTTGCGATGGTCGCAGTTGGCCTCCGCTAGAGATTCGTGTCGCGGAATGTGTTGCGAGGTTGAAGATTCGCGTCGCGACAAATGATCTGCTTCCGAGTGAGAGACAGTCGAGAAACAGGTAAGAAGAAACGAGACAGGAAAGCCATGTGTACGTAGGATCGTTAACGTGCCGATTGCAGTTGACATTTTTGTCGTAAGGACAACAACGAGTGTCGTGGCCCGAGATGCGCGCGAGACAGTTCACAACGAGCGACGACTGCAGATATATTCACGTCAGAGTGTGATTCTTATTGAGGAATAAAAAGACGCCCAAAGAAAGTTGAACCATCTTATTATAGAAATAAAAACGTGAAAGGGAACTTTTAAAGCGAATTACGTGCTATTTTATGAAGGCGTATTCGCACGTAACGGCACTCAGTTTGAATGCCCAGCGACGAAGACATTGGATAAAGATATTATCTAACTTTAACGACGATGAGACAGGTATGGATTCTATGGCAGGGAAAAGAGACAATTTTTGTGACGACGTCGCCTCGATGTATGGAGACAAAATGGACGCTTAAATAATTAACGATAAACGCGCAACGACGCCGGCCGAAGGTTTTCATTACGTTCTTATACTAGGAGTCGGTATCTACAGGTCGTTGATATTGGTGCCTTGTGTTTTCTTGGATAAGACCAGTCGGCATTACGAATGACGATTATTATTGACATATGAAACTAATTGGCTGTGTATGTACTGTACCACGTTTCAATAAGACCGGCGTCTTGCCGAGTCTTGTGGATGCGTCGCGTGTCGATGGTCGCGACATTCGCGTTTTCGGGTTTCCGTACTAACCAAATGCCCAGGAGTCTTTTTATCGCGTGGATGAAGATTGATGCTAAGAACGCTCCTTAATCTCATTTCGTATGTGTCGGTAGATTAGCGATCACCAGAATTCGATAAAGGATGAGAGGAATAAAAGTTCGTCCACGCGATGAGATTGACCTCGAGTCAGAATCTTGAGCGATAAGAAGCGTGATGCATCGAGTGAACGTACCCTAAGTCCTTCATTTTCTTTGATAAAGCGCCTTGGGAAATCGATGATACTTAGAAGCGTCGAGGCGCTCCTTCTTCTTGGTGAACTTTTTGCCAGCGACACTTATGGCCGACCGGACGCGCTTTACTACGGGTCGATTCGATTCCAAAGTTTTCTACTTTTTGATTCCCGAAAATGTCTATGCTTCCATTTTTTCTATTGCGTGTCTTTGCCATTTCTCTTTGTCTCTTTTTATCTTTATGCTTCTCTCTGTGACTCTCTATAAATTATTTCACCACTCAAAACTCAGATATGCACTTCGGCGTTCGCAATTCTATTTCTCTGCCTTCTTTATTTCCATTGAGCCGTTTGACTCCCTTTGACGCTGGTTTTAAAATCAAGAAGTGACAGGTTGACAATTCTTGTCGCAGAACGAATTTATCATACTGACAAAAGATAAGGAGAATTTCAAAATTTTTGCATGAATATAAGCTTTTACTGGCAAATATATTATTTTCTACTTTTTCCACTATGAATAATGCATAGAAATTGTATAGTACATGAAATTGCTCTCATCACTCGAACCACTGAGTGTTCGATTTTAGATATACCTATTTTACTGTAAAAATAAGGAAAATCAATAGCTGGTTAGAGCTCGAAAAATTGGACCATTGTTATTATCGAAAAATGATCAAAGGGAGGAAATGTATATTGGAAATTGAAAATCAGTCAATCAAATGTTATTTTTTTAAATATCTGATATGCTCACCAATTTGCTGGATGCAACTGCATTATCGCTGGATCCTTCTGTCAGGCACTGATTCGAATGCACAAACTTTTTCGACGTCCTCGCCTTCTACTATCTCTGCAGTGTAAACGAATGCAGTTCTTTCTGCTTTCAATGGACGGCAAAACAGTGGAAGTGGCAGGACAAACGACAAATATTCGAATCAAAAGAAATTGACAGGAACGAAGGCCGGAACAATCTCGGATTTACAGATCAAGCAATGTCAAGGCCAGGAATAAACACGAGTTAGCATTCAAGTTCTCTTCAAACTTAGTCCACGCACTGGCACTGCCACGAACGTACGTAGTAGTTCATCCACCACGAGGAAGACGAGACTAAGGATCACCAGAAATTCTTTAAAAGTCTCAGGAAATCACAGTCAGTCGCGACAAAACGGTAGCGGATGTACCAGAGGAAGTATCGACGTTCACATTTTTGCGAATAAGAAACAAAGCCACAAATACAAAGACGTAAGTATCGATTGTAAGAATCGATCTTACAGAATTTCAATGTTATAAACAAAACCTTAAATTCAAACGAGAAAGCAAAGAAGCAAAGGAAATCAACTAAAGCTAACGTGACACACGTTTAAAAATCCCCGTTAAAGTTTGAGCCTGCTAAAATAGTCAGGATCGTCAGGATCGGATCCCTGGAGGCACGGAGCAGGGTTCCTGCCGAGGATCCTCGGAAGCAGACTGAGCCAGACACTGACCCCGAGGTCCGCGATGTCCGAGAGGGTCGGGAGGGTCGCGACGGCCGGGGATCTCGGAGCACGTAGGACACGCCGGAAAAACCTCCGCGAGACGAGGAGGAGACGCGAAAGACGCCCGTATCAACCGTCAATGATACTCAGAGGCGTTCGAGCAAACAAAACGTGATAGCACGTCGCATGGTTGTTTAGAATACACTGAATATATTTTGACCCGAACGCTCCGAAGCGGTGCCGGCGCTCCGGCTCGGCCGCGTTCGGCTAACTTCGGCTTTGGTAGACGCGACGGAGGACTCCGAGGGCCGACTCGTCACTCGCTCCTTCACTTGCTCGATTGCACGCCACCTTCACGCACGATCCGCAACACCAGCCACACTGCCCCTCTACACACGGCACACACTCTTAAATACCTGTATGCACCTATATTCTACATAGTGTACGATGGCACATCCGATATTCAGCCACTGTTGTACGTAACGCAACGTATGTCAAACTCTTACGTTTTCGTTAAGGAGTCTCGACTGTTTTGACTAGTTTCCTTCTTTCTACTAGTTTCTACTTTCGTTCCAGCCAACCGAGCTATAACAGCCATACAATTATAATTTCGCAGCTGGTGAATTCGCTGCGGACAAAACTAACGCGCTGGTCAGTAGGAGTGTACACCGTCGAGCTTGGTAATGTAGTATTGATTTAATGATACATAAGAATGCTCGGAAAGTTAGACTTTCGGCCGTTATCTTGATACGCGGACCAGATAGCTTTTCTTATGTCACATAGGAATACAGTAGAGCTCTGTTATCTATAACAAAGATACGAAGTTTGTTTCTCGAATATGTCTTTATGAAATTGTTATATGAGACGAGCTTTTATATATAATTTATACGTTGTACACGGAAAAGAATAACCATAGAAGATAAAAAAAAATCCTCGTGAAATAATATTGCCCGCGTCCTATTCGATCTATTGCGTATTCCTGTTGGATTCACAGGAGTGTCACGTTATTAAAGAAATGTAAAAACCGTTAGAATTACATAACATAATGCTTTATGGACTCTCTCGACTCGTTGAGAATGGAGAATTTTTCAGATTTTTCAAATCGAACGTTATTTGACAATTTAAAAAATTCAAAATGGCGGATCTAACGCGATCCGAATCAAATGATATTTTCACTAAAAACACTGTAGATTCAAGAAGAAAAAAATATGTAATTTTATCATTCTCACTCCATAAAATCTACACTATTGATCTTATACATAAGTAACGCTGTAAAAATAACATAGTTTTACTTTCGTAAATATTACAAGATCAGTTAACGTTATTAGTTCTACCAGCAAATCTCCACAAGGACAAGCTCATAAGTAAAAGAAGAGGTAAGTTCTGCGAATGTGACAGAAGTTCCTGCAAATCGAACCGGATACTTATATTTCTTCAACGTGTAACTAAAATATCGTTCACCTGAATATTAATGCATACATTAACGTCTTACCGTTAATAAATTCATATCGTGTAGCGAATATCGATAAAAGATTTGCTGAATATTTAATCCTGTAATTATATCCAATCTTGTCGCTCAGTTCATCTACCATATACATTCAAAGTGTCACTTCCAATAAAAAGTAATCAAACAGTCAAAGAACAGACATTATTTGCCAATCGATCATGAACATTGCCACGTGACATTAGGAAAGTCAGTGGGCAAATGGATGGGGTCAAAGTGCAAGCTGAGGATACAAGCTACAAAAGAGATCAGTGACCATTGGCCAATCTGATAGGATCGAGAATTTTTATCGATAAGGTAAAACGCGTGTCCAGGGAAATAATCGTCAGTGCTTCGACCAACGGATTTTGCATCCAATTATAAGAGAAACGCTGAGGGAGACAGTGACGCATTCGGCACTGTCAAAACTACTCGAAGTAAATTCGTTATCATGCGTACAAATGATTAGACGCCTTGAAACAAAGGGCTCTAATAAATATAGAGGATGGACTCATCTGCGCCAAAGGTGGGATACTGATTTCTCAATGCGTCGGGTCTGACTCAGAGAAAGTGAGAAGGATGAAGGAATTTAGACAGTTGTGAGGAACCCCCGCGAAAGGACCAATTCTCATGGGTGGGAATTATGCGAATTGAAGTATCGATTTCCAAAAGATACCGAGAACGCGTACTTGTTGCTTACTGCTAAGATTCCATTTTAGAGAAGAGAATTCACGGGGAGCTTTGAAAATTCTACGAATTAATACGAGATCGTAAGGTATTTATGTGTTTCCAATGGCCTAGGGCGAAGGAAGTGGGAAAGACGGAATAGGCAGATACGAATTGACAGAGAGAGAGAGAGAGAGAGAGAGAGAGAGAGAGAGAGAGAGAGAGAGAGAGAGAGAGACACGAAAAAAAGAATAACGAGGCCGACGAGAATCGTTCAGTAATTTAATTCTATAAGACGAGCGAATTCTTTGAGTGTGACGACAACCTGGTGCTCTTGTTAAGTGGATCTGGTTCTTACGGGCAGGAATTTGAAAAACAGATTTAAAAATTTTACGAGGAATGACGAAGGAGAGTGGAGAGGAGAAGAATGAGAAATAATAAGGCAAAAATATTTGACGAACTTAAATGTCTTATACCCTTGAAATGCATCCACGAATAGATATATGTATAACGACAGCTGTGTCAGTACGACTATAATGTTGTGACAGTAACGTAAGAATAATATACAGTTCATTATTCCAAAATTAATGTCACATTTCGCTTCTGATAATCAATAGCTGCGATTTAAGTCTCGGTCCATTAGCACTGAGCGATAAGAAAGATACAAGAATTCTCGTGGGAATTTACTGCTTTGACGTGCTGCTAATCGTTCTTTTAATAGTCTCTACGACTGTCAAAGTCTCGTTATCATTTCGAAATTTAATTTCAGGCAGATTTGAAGTTTTAATATTAAAAAACTGCCTTACCATTTGAGATAACGAATTCACGTGGGAGATGGCACTCGTCTACGTGGTCAACGGATTGAACCAAGGTCGATCAAATAGTTCTCTTCCTTACTCAACACGATTTCTATAGAGGCTGTGGATGCACCTAATATCGTTCAAATTACGTGAACGTCCCTAATGTGACATTAGCTGGAGATTCCGAATCCGCCAGTTTCATTGCTGTGCGGCTAGAGAGTATCAAGTCATTTCTTGAAAGTGAAGATTTGGACGAGTGCGCCTGTCTTCGTTTGACTTACTGCAATACCCAGAAAGTATTGCAGTGTAACAGGGGCCTTTGGTAGCCTTAAAAAAAAAGTTCCTCTTCCTTTCCAATGAGGCAGTTCAATATAAAAGTAAGATTCTTAGATGGTTTACTGTTTAGATTCAAATTTTTCTAGACCATCGTACCAACGAGTCTGTCATATTTACAGAAAAGATCAATTAAAATGAAAGAAAATTGAATTTTATGTCTCCTGAAGCTAGACAACATACGCCAACCAGTAAGAAAGTGTCCTGCGGAATATAATTTGTCTCTAAATAAAATCTATTTTGCCCTCAAGTACAAGGACGACACCTGCCAGTGGCGTAGCTATGTCACATCCTGTCTGAATTCTAATTCAGATCATACGACCAAAGCGCAGGAGCATTAGAAATCAATATGCGGTGGTGGGTAGTTCCATTTAATAGGCCTGAACCGTCGTGACCGCGTCTGATCATGTCTCTACGCACCATACGCGATATAACGCAAGAAAAGATCCTGGTCCATCAATGACTTTGTTAGTTTCCTGATGAAAAGTCGCTCGACTGCGTTCCACTGGAGCAAAGTGCCCATTAGAGCACTTCGTAAATCATAGGTGGCGCGCGTCACTGATCCTTATCGTTGTTTATTTGTGGAAAAATAAACTGATGGAATCCAGGCTGCCTTGCGAGTTGGCCAATGGAAGCCAAGATCAGCCAGAAGAACTGAAGAGGAAGAGCGAAGATCCGTGGCTCAAGCGGTGCGATGATAATGACGGCCCAGGAGTCGCTTTCGCGTGCAAAGTCAACCGTACGCAATTACCTGGACGTAATGCGCGGTTGCTGCTGGCACGATTAGCTGCCTTCTTTGAGCCGTGTCTTGTGGAAAATTGCTGGGGCTGCTATTTGCGTAACTTGTCTATGAGCACAAAAGTATTAGAGAAGCGATAAGAGTGATATGACACTTTACTACTCACCATTGAATTTGGTTTTTTGAAAATGTATTTTTCAATGTTTGGTTACTCTTTAATCATCCTGTATGCAAAGGTGTTCTATAGCACCGAGCTATGAATCGTTATTTGGGATGCTTGGATATGAACTGGCCATGTTTGTTGATGTACTGGGATGATAGTGCATCCTATTGATGCTTCCTGGCTGAACCATGTTGTGGAGCGGGGAACATCAAGAATATTTGGACAAATCGAGATTACGCTCTTTGATCAATATTGATATTCTCGACAAATAGCTGTAATTGTTGTCTACACAACATGACGCTTATATTTCATAAATATATGAAAACGCATGAATTACAGTGTACACAGCGTCTTCGTTCTTTAAGATCGAATCTCTCAATGATGCTGATCAGGAAGAGGACTGCTTGGACTTGAGATGCGTGATTGGTGAGTAAATTTTATTGATTTTATATGAAAATACCTGAACGGAAAAGATATATTGAATAATTAACTGGTTGAGGTAATGGTACTTTAATACTGTAGTGATCTTTTGGTTTGTATGTCTTCCAGGATTGTTCTCATTTCCTCGTCCTCCAGACGGCCTTCTAGACTCGGTATCAAGGCCTTTGCTTCTTCGGGTGTTTCTGGGCACAAATTCGCCAGGGACGCCAATTCGAATTTGTGTAGCTTCTTCTGCATCAGTAAACTGTAACCACGCGTTTGTAAATTAATTTCTGAAACAGGTGCGAATTATCGATCAACAAGTTGTACTGGAAATTTATACTTTCTGACAGCCGCAATTGTTTCTTTGTTTTTGAATTTTCGAAAACGATTCGTATAAGTTAGACTCTTCATGAAGACCTCGGAGAATTCTTGCTCTTCCTCTGCTGATTCGTTCTGCGCTTTTCTGTGCTCCAGTAACATGTGGACTTCCGCTATCAGGAGAGTCTCAGCATTTTCGAATTCTGCAATGTGATAAAATATTTTTTTTTTATTTTTACACGTATCGCAATTTCTACTCGGTATGTTGAATCTGAGGGGATATTTGTACAAAAGTTCTATTTGATTCAGTTATTTTCGTTCAGATTGCACAATAGAAAAGAAATAAGTTAATATTGATTTCGAACGATTGGTACATTCGATTTGTTTACACATACTGTTTACAGAAACACGTCACGTCACAAGACACAAGATAGTTTTAGCATCCACGTAGATGTCGTCGCCATACTCCCGGTGACCTCGATGAATTTAGATATTGAGAGTGGCAGAGATAAGAAGAGATTCGATTCTCTCTCACATTTTTCTCTACGGTATGTTAATTTCATAAAATTCTCGCTCACGTGGAATCCGAGAGAAGTAGAAATCGTTGCAAAAGTATTTTTTTCAGCACGTAATAAGATAAGTTCTTAATCGGCGTTAATTATTTATGCCGACCTATTAAAGAATTTCGTCACACCTAATATGGATTCGTTATGTATCTCTAAAATGTTAAATTGACATGCATATCTCGTATTCGCATAAAAGATCGAAATTAATGATCTGGACCCTTACCTCATATATTTAGGAACTGAATAAAGTTGAAGAAAATTAGAAAACAGATTATACATATTACACTCAACGTTTTTACGAAAAAAATCATTAATTTTTATTTTTTTATCTACAAAATACGGTACCAAACGAATGTAATAAATTAAAAAAATTTGGGTACGAGCGACGTTTATCCATGAAAACTGAATGACCATTGCTTATTTAATAACTCTATCTTAATTATCTTAAAATCTAATATCACATACTTAAATACTGAACAGTCCCTCAGGTGTTGCAAGAGTGTATAACAATTTGAAGCTAATTTTTTAAATATTAAGGTTAAAAGTTTCATCATTGAACTGGTTTATTAATGTAACCTTGTTCTGCTAAAAAGTCGTATATCTTTCTAGTTTTATTTACGTCGATTTTTAAAAGCACTCTGGCCTGAGCCAGTCGCAGTGAACCACATTTTTTATTCTCAGTTATAAGGAGATGTTTGAAGTCGGAGTAACTAGTGGGTACAACTCGTGCTGTAGAACATAGCTCCTTTTCAGCCGCAGTAAGTTTTTCATATCCAGGTAAACCCTTGATCACAAGAGGTGGTGGAGCTTTTCGTTGTGAAGCTGTACTCGTTAATGGAGCATTTGTTTTCGAAATACAACCAGGTAGTATACTCTTCCAGTTGTACTCAGCATTCGTTAAATATTGCCTTCTATCTTTTTCATTCTCCTGTCGAAGTTTGGTCAACTTTTGAAAAGTTGGTACACTATGAAAATACTTTAAACCATTTTTACGAAATTCGAGAAGCCTGTGAATATAATTCTTTAATTCGCCAGCATGATGAAGTCCCTCCATGATGTAATCAAACTCCATACCTTTTACCAGCTGCATGAAAATTAATAATCTTTCAGCGGTAGGTCTTGTAATGGTGCTATCGTATCTATGTAACCAAGACATTGTTCTTCTGAAAGCTATTAATCCATGATCCCTTATTACTTGTTGTCTTCTCTTTCTTTCTCTTAGCCTATGATTGTAGGCTTCCACTATTGCTACTTGTAAACTTTTTCCTAAATAATTGTCACTGTCATCTCCACTAAACTCATCGAATCTCAAATCAGAAATTAATGACTCTGCGTGGTTATCAAAATTTACTTCAAAATCAGACCTAGCTGCATTGTATCCTGCCAATAATCGGCAGTTTACTGTATTTGTTGCAAATCTGGGTGGTTCTTCGAGATCATGTAATTTGTATAGATATGGTATTGGCTCAGAACTGAATAAACTTGCTTCAGTCTCCTTAATATTTGGTAAACCAGGTAAAGTTTGATTATCTATATAATGTTGTAAATAGTGTAATTTGCATTCTTCTGGGGACTTCCCTTGTATTCTTCTGGATATATCCACCCAGTTACCAAAACCACACTCCTGCAAGACATCCAATAGTTCTAACTCTTGTCGCGCAGTCCAGCCCGAGTTTTCAATTAGAGGAAATTCATTTTTTATAATTATATAATTATGATTGTTTCTATGTTCATCAACTTCAGAACCGCTGGAGAAACACGGAGGACAAATTTCAACATTGGAACACTCAGCACATCGAATGTAAGGTTCTGAGAGGATTGTTTTGCATATACGACAGGTTGGATCTGAAGTAAGGATTTCCTCCTTCAGGACTGACACCTCGAGCTCTATATCATTTTCGGTTTCTACAGCTCGACTCGATGGACAGTCTGAAAGCAAGAAAATCATTACTTTAGACCTAACAGTAAGTTACTAACAGTCTTTGCATATCCATTCAAACATAGAGAAAGTGAGGGTATGCAAAGTTCCTTATGCGAAATTGTACCACATGACTTCGGAGATTGTTTCAACGTACCTTTTGGAAATTGAAGATCTGCCGCATCTTCTTCTGTCATATCCAACAGGCTTGGATTCGCCATACTTCGACTTTTTATTAAAAATTCCCGCGCAAAAGATTAAGTTTAGGTTAAGGTTAGGAACAACGCTTTTACTCCGAAAACGTGACTAGAACTTTCTGCTTCACTTGGAATCAACAGCTGGCGCTGATACATTAAAAAGATATTTTGTCGATAATACAGTTTCATGTAAGCTGCGTCTCTCTGCGTCCTTTTCGATTCAGTGTTATAAAGTCAATCGCATTTTAAAAGCCAACAAGTAAAACAACCCCCACTAGTTTGTCATAAATACATATAAATCAGAATAATCGTGTTTCAAGCGACCAAAATGATAAAACATCGATCCCGTCCGAGAACATTTCCAACAAATCAATTAATACACAGCCGGCTATAAATCGTATTAAAGTACAATATGCTACTACAGGTGGTTATTATCAATAATGATTATTAACTGACCGCCCAATAGATAATAATAATTATAAGCTCATAAATTACTCATTGCAACTTATATACACTCTAATAAACCTCGTGGTTTTTAATGGTTCAATGGATTAAAAAAAAAAACGAAAAAGATCAGACCTTGACCATAATGCAATACAATCAATTCAAGAACGATCGTCAAAATATAAAATTCGTATAAGGTCGCGTATGCTGTTACCTCTATAGAATATTCGATGACACAATTCAGAATGGTGCTGATCATAATGCACGTCGACATATCCCTTACTAGATACACGTATATCAAACGTACATAAATAGACAGATATGAAAAAAAATGGCAAAGCCATGACCTCAGAAAAGGGCAAATAGTAAAGTATCCATTTGCCATCACACTATAACGATCATCCATTATTATGCGTGTCAAGGTTGGCATGAATTGACAAATCGCAGATAGAATTGAAAAGAACATTATTCCAAGTTTACTTAGATCAATCGACAAGTCCATAAGACTTAAACAATACCAGAGTGATCCTCGAAAAGAATAAATTATTTATTACGAAGAAAAAAATCACTCGAATATCCAAATGTAAATTTCAAAAATTGTAATTAGGTCATTGGACTTCATTTTAAATGATAAACATTTCATTATACATGACGGAGCACATTATCAACTAAGCAATTCAGAACAGCAGATCAACGCGTTCAGCATTCAAAAATTTAAAGGTAATCTTGTAGGAGCAAAACTGTTTTTTTTTAGATTGGATTAGATTAGCATAATCGACTCAATAATAATAACAACAATTTTCGCTCTAATAACGTCCGTGACAATAGACTCGTACCCATCGAAGACTCTTTATGAAATTAAGCAACGAGTAACGATCCGACAGAAATAAATGAATAAAAATAAAATTTCAATGGTAACCCACAAAGAATCGAACAATGGATCAAAAACTGGGAGCGTAAACTAGTCCGCCCACAATGTTACTACTGGACAACTAAACGAATTACATTACAAGGTGCCTCAACTCGATCTACCGAATACGCCCATTCGAAATTCTCTCAAGAGAAAACTTGATGCCATCCAAAAGTCTTTCTCTCCAATTAACAATGTCACGCCCGCCGTTCTATACCACCCAAAAGAAAGTTTCCAATGGATATAATATGGATAACAATATTAACATTTTTTTCATCGAGTCATGCCTCGTTCAAAGATAATTTAGAAAACATAAAATAATTATATAAGTGAACTACAGATATGCATTATAATAAAATTAATTACTGAAGGTCAATAGTTTATAGCTATATTTATATTACCTGATTACCTATGTATATGCATAAAATATAAAAGTACGTACGGCGTTTGAATAACGCAGTATTACCAACAGCGAATAATTCATCAAGCTATCCCACGGCGGTTGGCTGACTTCACGTACGTATATAACGATAATATTTTTAATCCGTAGAAGGTCCCAAGAATCCCACAGTTATCATCTGTTCACGGGAGAGACGTCAAGAAGTAGGATCGTTGCTGTAAATTGCCACAGGTTGATATCTAGCAAGACAGAGTACAGCAGTGAATGATGCTGTAAAAGTAAATTCCGTAATGACAGCGCAGTTATAACCTAAAAACTTGACGCATCACCAGGTACGCCAATTTCTTCGTTGTTCTAAGAAAATCTTCCAAGTCATAACTAGGAGACGCGACAACGTCGACTACTTAAGGTGGATTAATAATCTCGTAGTGTATCGCGTTCCCAAAAGGAAACACTACTGGAATAGATAACGTATAATATGTACTTACTCGGTAGTGGCACGCAGCGGGCATACGAAACAATGATTTCACGTTGAAACTACACGAATTACCTTAATCGACTTAAATATTCGCATTCCATTGATTCTATTCGTAAACGTCATCGAGGTCGGTTTATGATGCTCGTCCATGATTATTATCTCTCTACTTTGTACGTACGGTGTAGTAATAACGATGCACTTACGGTTGTACGAGGTATCAATACGAATAGGTTAGGTCGTGCGTTGCGACCTCTGTGTTCAGACGAAATATGAGGAAACTGGAAATTTTTAAGAGCGGATTTACTGTTATGAAAAAAAAAATGTTAGAATTTATTCCGACAGTCATCGTGCCATCGTCGTCATCTAGGTTCTGACTGCCGATTCCATTCTGATAAAAACAAGTCAATCTAGATGGCCTTGCAATCGACGATTCTTCAAATCTTCATGGACGCACTTCACGAGGTAACGTTTATCTTTCTCTTCTCACGTCTTCTTGTGTTCTTATATTCTGTCTACGATCACGGCACGGAGGACATTTCTGTCTGGATCTTTTGTCATGTCTGGAATATCCTTGTGATCTGACTTGACTCCCGGTAGCTGGTAAACGAATTCGGTGGATATGACGAATGCCGAAGAGCCTGATTTTTCAAAGGCGAAGACTCTTCGTTATCACGACTTTGATGTTGGCGATAGGAGAAAAGACGAGTCGATGGAAATTGATCGGGAGAATGTTTTTGATAGCGTTTACAAGCGTACGACACTTTGTGGGTGAGTTTTAAATTGTATGTAGGCTTTAAAGTTGTCACGATAATTCAGGATTCATGACTCGTAACTCGCCAGCTCGTGACTTATGGCGTATATGAAAATATTACATAATCTGGAACACCAGTTTTTTTTTAACGATAATAAATTATTCTATAGAAATTATAAATAAATTTTACCTTTTTTTTCTGGATTTTAAATACATTTTTTTTTATAATCAAATCAGTATGTTTCACTGATTACGAATTATGGGTAAAAATTATCTAATTGTATTTATCATAATGAGAGATAATTCAGTTCCCAGAATTTTCAAGTTTATCACAGTTTTAAACTAACCCCGCGTGTCCATATATCACTTTGAGTATTTTTTGTGTTAACTACGAGTAATCAGTTATCCTCTGTGATATTTATAGGTTATCCAATGAAACTTGATTTATTCAATGGAACTTGATTTATTTTCTAGCTACGCTCGGGTGGTGCGATTACGGAAGAATAGAAATCCCTATAAAAAGTATTAGATTAATTATTATCTGTGACAAGGAGCGATAGACGCTTCTTATATTACATTAATAAGGACGAAAAAAAAGTTACAATTATTCAATCGGTTGATAAATAAATGGTAGTCGATAATTTCATGGTTAAACGATTTCGTAATCCAGCAACGAGCATCGGCTTGATTGAATTTCAACCAAAGAAATTTTCGTTTGGATTTGCCCTGCAGCCATTTTAAAAAAGTTTAAAAAATCGGTTAACTCTATCTTGCGATTAGTCTCTTACTCACGAGCTACTCTGACCTTATGATAGACGCTTTACAACTTACGACTTACACGCTTACGACGCACATGACATTCCTGTTACAATGTTATCTATTTTCAAAAAAAAAAAAGATTTCAAGAGATACGAAAATTATCCAATCGATAAAATCAATTGAAATAGTATCATTGAACATGATACCGTGAAAAAAAATATATCGAGCGCGACCAGATTGTGGTAAATGAATAAGATACAGTAAGTGAAGCGAATTGAAGAAATGAATTAAACGAACGATGTAAACTCACCCTGAGAAAAAAACCGGCCGAAAGATTCATTACTTTCGAAAGGATTATCCGAATTTGTACGGTTCATTCGTGCCAACAGTCTACCTGGTTAACGTCTTTACGGATTCTCTCTTTCTCTGTCCTTCAATATTCTCCACTGTTCTTTCTCTCTCTTGCTCGTTCTCCCGGTTAAAGTAACGGCACGCGATTGCTTAGTGCGTAAGGTGCGTTGCACCGTGAACGCAGCGTCACGCAGTCACGGAACTTCCCCGTAAAGTTCGTTACGTGAAAATCCCGCCGAAAAAAAAGAAGAGAAAAAATTATCACCTGACTTGATTCTAAGCATATCAAAATATTCGATACCCGTTTTATTCCTTATCGAAAAGAAATAAAAAAACAAGCGAAACGATGCGACTTATCTGCAAGTCGCAGCAGACAGCCAGGCGTGGCTTTTGAACGTGAACTAGAAATCTCTCGGGACGATAATGCGCGATGCCGTTAGACAGTGTAGCGTCAAGAATATCTCTTTCTTTTTCTACGACTCCGATGAACCGTCATATAAGCAAAGATCGCGACGATAAAATACATCGTGAAATTTTGAACGATCAAACGGCAAGTGTCTAACGTTCAGCATTCGAGGTTAAACTTCCAACAGTACCTTAAGGCAGTGTATCCATAAGAATCATCCGACGCCAATAATTATCGTGTTCCAGGGTTTAAATATCTCGAGAAACAGGTTTAACGACTCTTTTCAAAGCCCATTGAATATTAATCGACCAATCTGTACGAGTGATGGCAAAGATTTTGTCGGATTAATATTTAAATCTCGTAGACTCGATCGTGCCGCCGCTGTATCAACGAACAGGTCAATTACTGTTGGACCATCAAGAAGCTGCATCAGATCCGCAAAGTCGGGTAATCATTTACGTGAACGTAATAATGGGTGCCAGACAATCCCTCAACGCGTATCGCACTGCTGACTGGTACAACAATAGTTGGTCGGGTCTTCCGTTAGGGGAGCCTCGGTAGAAATAATTCGACTAAAGTGACATCTCCGAATCGTAATTTGTTTCGCTCGGATTTTCATACACTTAGTACTGGTATCGTAACACTCTGTGCCTTGTGTATAGTACACAGTAAGAATCCAACGAGACTTTCACCTTAGCATTTACAAAGGACTTTACGAAGCGTCCGTTTCAAAAGCCGTTGTCACGAGGCACTAGAAAGTACACTGACTTCGATTATCGACTCGAACGGAAATTTTGTGCCTGATTCGCCACAACTGATCGGTTAACTAACCGCTCGATAAAGATGTTTCGATAATCGTAAAGGTTCGTATCGATGAAATTTATTGAACTAGAAGAATCTTTCGCTTCGATTCGATTCGTTACTCCTGATTTTTAGGTTATATTTCTTTGATGCACACCTGCTGCTGCTGCATCGACAAAATTTATACTGACAATCATCCAGCGTGAATCCACTGTTGCAGTGTGATCAAGTGATACAAAATGAAGAACGTAAAAGTACGTGGCAGCATAATCGATTGTTATTAACAATGAGTCAAAGTATCGTTGCAAAATTATCATCGCGTGTTAAAAACTCAATGTTGTTTTTCCACTGAAACATGCGTGACCCTGAAATGTTAATACGATGATTTTTGTTTACAACACGAAATTTCTCACAGGCGTTAACATGGCTCTTATTACTTGTCCACGAGACGTCCCGAGCAGGTCCATTTCGGTACATACGTTTACATTAAACTTGACACTCATCCCACAAGGACGACAGGCGTCCTCAAAAAAAATGCAAATACAATAATAATAACCGATCAGAATCGTTATAGCTTTCGATATGAAAGTCGTCAGATTATCCTGTTAAATAATTAATTATAATTAATTGACAGATCTCTCAAAAATTTTGGTCTCTCAATACTGTTATTACAGTCTGTGACAGTTGACTAATTGTCCATGTAATAATTGAGATATTTCAAATGTCTCAAGTCGTCGATCGGATTGAATTTTATCGATCGATAATCTTTCTGCTCGGTACGTCTCAGCTTTCTTCAAAATAATAACCTCCTTACTCGCTACTATTCATTAGACACGGTCAGTCCCGTTGTTCGAGTGGCTACAAACGAGAGTTTTGAGAGACGGACAATCATAGAAACTCTTCGTCTTCCCATTGGAGTACCCGTGTCACTCTGACGTCACTTCCCGTCCAGGCAGCTTTCGCGTTTCACCGCTCTCGCGAGGATGCAATTATTTGACCGCCATTTAAAGCGTATATTTACGCTTTTTTCTTTTTTCATTCTCAGTCAGAAAAACATCCTCGTGACAACTATCAAGTGGTTCGACTAGTTTTGGCACGAGACCTGAATCCTTTCACAATTTTTCTCTTTTTAGGTCGTTCAAAGAAATTTTCAAAAAATTTTTTTTCTCATCGATAACTCGTACGTTACTCTGTTATCACTCGTCCGATTACTCATGCACTACCCTACAGATCGTACCCAGCCATTCATCGCTCTTGACAACTTCCGGTATATCGATATACACGCCATCCATCATTTGGAACTTCTGGATCATCGATCCATGATCATGGATCCATGATCCAGAATCAAAGGTGCGCCATGGGATCATTTTACGCTGGCATCGAATGACTACGTTCACTTGGATCAACGAGGAGGGATAACTCGAAGGATGATTTTTTATTTAGAATGACTCTTGGTCTCGAACCATATACCGGTTCTGTGATCGAAGACGTGGCTAAAGAAGATCGGCCGGTGCAGAGCCCAATCAAAATGAGACTATCGCTGATCCCTGATAAAGCCGGTTGGGACGACCCGAGTCTAACGGGATAGCCTCGATAAACATTGGTTTGACGCTACGAGGCCACACCTATTTGGACACACGTTTTCCATAAGGATAAACAACGCAATTGGCCTAATTAATTTATCCCAACTTCGTACAAAAATCCGATACCTATCCAGACCTTAAGATAGTCTTGCTGTACGAATACAAAATATTTTGGCCTCCTTTCGTACGTGTCTCTTCTCTCACCTTCATATGCATTTATTGCTTGACTTTTTTTTCCCCGTGGATCATCGGACACGTTTATGACTATTTTCTATCTTTAACGATCCGTCATTACTAGCACGTTCAGAATTCGAAAGCCGATAGCTTAATGACGTTGAGTATAATTTAAATTTATTTTTCTTAGCACATTTTCAACTAACCCAAATTTCAAATTGGAACAATTGTTAGTCTCAATGAAAAATAAATCTTTCGGCGTTCTTCGTGCCATAAAACGTCGTACCAACAAAACATGCCAATAAATATACGAAAGGAGCTAAGAAATATTCCTACGCAAATACTATGCTAAATAGATGAGTTTTTTTTTATTTTTTTTTTTTTTTTTTTTTTTTTTTTTTTTTTTTTTTTTTTAATATGCTGCTACGTACTGAATTCTCAATTCGCCTATAATTCATCCCATGCTAATATAACGCGAATCGTATAACGCTTTTCGAGGGTGGCAACAGTCATTCACGGGATGATTTCTTTCGAACTCCCTCGTATCTTAATTCGTGACACGTTAATGCAAAGCCATTTGGTCGGCTATCTTTTTCCTCTAGTACCACGCCTTTTAATAACCATACATACGCGAGATACAAAGCTACTACGGAACCGGCTAATCATTTACAGGTTTATGTACGTATTCCTAACGGTACAAGCTTAGAGGCGCAGCAGCGAACCTACAACGATCGCTTTATTCGTTCTACGTTTATTTTACATTGCATGCAACTCCTATAGATATATATATATATATGATGGTCCAGACAGCATCCTCCGCCCACTTCTCATCTTGCTCACTTCTTGCTCCACGGAAATTGTATAAGTAATTCTTTCAAATATTTTTTTCTTCGATCAAATTTATTACTATTAAAATTTCGATTAAAATTTAAATTAAAATTATTGATTATGGTCACAGTCATTATCCAGTTACACCGTAGAAAATTGAAGGTGTAAGACGATTTGGTGCAAACGATTAAAAATATTGGCTTTTGACAATAAAAATATTTAAAATTAAAATTTACGATACAAATTTTAGCGAAGATCGGTGTTAATTAAATCGTGCTGTTTTGTAATTTATTGCTACACTCGAGCATCATTTAATGTAAAAAGTGGATTTATCGACGTTACATTATTTTGATAATATTCGATAATATTCAGCTACTTCTAAATATTCAGCTATTAATACCGTGTATAAAATTATTAATGGTAATCGTAACCTATTTCACTTTTTCTTCTTGCTCCTCGCAGTCGCACGAAATAAATCCGAATTCTCGTGCGGATGATCTTAGCGCAAGATTCGTTCATTCCCAACCACTCTGTTCCCGAGTGGGTCAAACGATTGTCGTAGATTGTTTTTTTGTTCTATTACCGCCTCTTACCTAACCGATAATTAAATCGATCGATCAATTGGTATAACCGATCGAAAGGCGCGAACGAAGCGACAGGAACAAGAGGATCAAAGTCGAGGCATCGATTACCCATGATCCTTCGCTCGAGAATAACCAGCCGAGTATCCGATGACACGAGTACACGCTTCTTATTTCTTTTTCTTTTTCTTTCGCTGCCGACCCTCCCCTCCGACTCTTGATCCTCATTTATTTTCAAACTGTTCCTACGCCACTCAAGGACAACCGACTCCCCAAGGACCGCCTCCTCTTGTCTTCTGACAGAATCTGATAAGGATAACGAAGTTCAACTGTTCATCCTGCGCATTAAATTTTCGGGAAGGTCGACAATAATAGGTCCTTTTTGTTCGTCCCGGGAGTCTGAAATACGCAATTTAATCTTTAATCCTCGCGTAATACTTCCAGCTTGTATAATAAGCCAAAGTCGGGGGCCAAATCCATTATCGTAATTGTAGCAAGGAAGGGGAGCTGTACCAGGGGGAGGGAAGGGTTGTCAAAGGGGCGAGGGTACGGTGGGAAGTGAATGAAAAAAAAAAAAAAAGAAAACAAGAAATGTAATAAAAGTGGCGAAAGATGTAAAAGAGAATATAACCTGTGTATACATTTACGGCAGCCACTGTGGAAAATCGTATTTCTTTTTCTTCTACTGGGGTATGTATCCGTCCACGTTATAATGTAAAGCAACGGCAGACGGCAGCTTTAACCGCTCGTATCGTTTATTATGGACGATAATGCCGAAGGCAACGGCACGCAACGAATTCAGCTTCCGCCACGTATGTTGCGTCACTCGGCAATTTCGTCCAGTTAAAATTATCTTCGAAACATAGGTATCCCAGGTGGCTTGGCTCTTATGGCTTTCTATGAATTCCTTCTTGACGGGCAATGCTCATTGGGTATTTTTGAATTATGTCGCGGCGTTTGTTTAATGACTTTTTATTATTCGTAGATTCGTATTAAGGAAGCGCCAGGTCTCTTGGCGCTTTGAAATTAGGGGCTGCTGGGAAATTAATTTGATAACGAGGGCGCCGATTCATTAGCTATTGTAACGTGTGTATTTGGCTTTGGTACTGTTTGGAAAAAAATACTGGAACGATATTGCGGGGTCGCGAGACAATATGGATTTAAAGTCCAAGTGGAATTTTTCTGGAATTTGGAAATACTAAATATGAAGGAAGAGCGGAACGTCTCACCGTGCAAATGACTCGGTTGTCATGGCTACGGAAATCTGTTACACTTTCCCAGTGATAATTTCTGGAAAGTCTACTTCTCGGCTGGACTCGGCGTGGAAATAAGAAAGGGAGTAAAAATCTTATTTTTTCTTTTTTTTTTACAGATTTTATTTTATTTTTATATAACCGCAATTTTCGAAATTATGTCAAAAAATATGAGTCTTCATGATTTTTTGGTGTCTATGACGTAATTAGTCACTGACGTACGATTAACACAAAAAAAAACTAATGAATTCTTCCCTAAAAATCTTTTGGTCGAAAAAAAAAAAAAAAAATTACCTGTATCTTCCAAACAGTAGCACTAATCCTCGTAACCATATTTACGTATTATCCTAACCTTAGCACATAGGTCACACGTGCCCAAAGCATTTCGATCGGGCGATGTAAGTTCCAAGCGGAAGGAAGTTTCACGAAATTCAAATAAAGAGGGTAGGTCCATTTGTCTTTGGCTAACCCTTTGTGTAAACCGTATAATAAATATTCCTTGAGCATTACATACCCATGACAGGTAACTGAATGATAAGAATCTTATATAAAAATTTACATGAAAATTATTATAGGTTAAAATGTATTTGACTTGCATGACCACTGATGCAATGCCCATTCCAATCTTACCTGACGCCGGGCAGCTTCTCATTGGACGTTTTGTGTCTGTTCCAATATTCAATTATGCGTCCATGTCAATGGACCGTGTCCCGAATTTTCAAGGTTGGCCTTCTGCATTAGTTCTCCGCCCCAAAAACGATGGCGTCTCACTGACTTTCAAATTTCGAAAATTATCTACTGCCGGCATCACGTGCAAATTCGTCAAGTTTTTACGTCACGTTGATAGCTCGGTGAGCACTCGCCTGCATGCATTTCAAATAATTGCTAACCTCGCTTTTCATAGTCATTTCGATATCCATGTAAATACAAAATTATCGATACCGTCAGAAACGTCTTAACCTTTAAAACGCAGATAGTGTAAAAAATGGTGTAAACTGACGAATGAATGAGAATCGTAACTGTATAATGGGATGTTAATTAATCTCACTCTCCGTACATAAATGACGTTTTAAATAATACAAAGTAAACATTGCCATCTATACTATATATATACATCTATATAGATACGAAGGAGAATAGACTAAAATATATTTTGCGCTTCTTTCAAAAACTTACTGATTTCTAATATGATCATACTGTTAATTATTTTAATTTTCATAGCCTGAAAAAAAACTCAAATTTCTAATAATATAAGTCCAAGGACCCTCGGCGAGTTAATTAGACATGAATTTATTGAATGTAAAAAAAGTGTGTACAAAAATTAATTCAAAAAACCTCAAAATCATTCACAGTAGTCCACTTTTCGATTAGCTATGGTAATCTTAATTTTATGTCTTTTATATTGCACATACATTATTTTCCAGTTTCATGATTTTTTTTTCATCATCCATTCGAATAATTCATATCCGATGCCCTTTATTTCGTATTTGTCGTTCGATGTAAATTCTGTGACATATTCAATTTCTAGCTACTTATATATATTTATACAATAGGTGCGTATCTCGTGTAACTGCAATGTAGGGTTTATCCAAAAACAGTGCCACTCACCAAAATAATTAATACCGCGATGCCCCTGATAGAAAACATACTAAAAGTGTCGTAGAGGAAGGCACAAGAAAAGAGGAGAAAAAGATATTATCGTATACGATGGAAAAGTATACGAGTGAGGAAGGAAGAGGGAGAGAGGGAGGGCGAGCAAGGGAGTGAGAAAGAGAGAGGAGAGAGTTTATATAGGAGGCGAAGTGCGCGCGCTCGTTCAGTCCGGCAGTCACAGTTCTATTCGATTCATCCGGACCGCAAGGATCCTTCCGATTGAAATCCCACAAGACCACCCCGCATGCAACAGACGAAAAGTGGTGACCTTTGACCTTCGCCAGGATAAAAACAGTCAACATAACCCCATAGAATTCGGTGTATCAGACACAATAAGATCAATCTACCAGAAAGTGTGTGGTGTTATGTGCTAGTGAGAGAACAGTAAAAATGACCAACAGCATGAAGCAGACAGTCATCAAGTAAGTTTTTCTTGTTCATTAGAAGAAGGAAAGCTAGATATAAAGAATACGTTACTGATTTACGTGTTTTCTTGAGTATCGACACTGTCTTTGTATTTTATCCGATGTCCTGTGCTGTTTGTTGTCACTTTCGACACCGCGGTTGACCCTCCTGTTGCTTCTGTACTGCTTGTGTTTATGTCTTTGTCCGTCACGAAAGAGTCGAAGCTCGGCGTCCTTTATTAGGCAAGAAATTCCATGAAAGTCGAGAGCCAAGCTGACGACTTTTACTGCACATTATTGACTCGTTACGTCGTTTGTCGATTCGATCGATTTCCTTTTACGTCGAACGCGATATAATGCACTTTCGGTACGAACTTTCTCAGCTAATCAGAAGCCAGGAAAGAAATGACGGTTGCTTATACTCGAGCTTATTTGAATTGCCGGAAGTCTTGCACGTAAATAAATCAACTGCGACGCCACGCGCTTTCTGTACTTTGCTTCTGAAAAAAGTCAATCGAAAATAATTGATCGATACGAATTAGATTTGCGCATTGGAATTTTTTATATTGAATCTTATGAAAATTTATTAATCAATTATTGAGATTCCCTTTGTGCATAATTACATATTTATTGTTTATGGGGTAGTCATCAACAGTGTCACATTTGACACGATAACCTATTGATTTCGAATCATTCTCAATCGGAAAACAAATACCTTCGATTGAATTTAATTGTATTTAAATCGGAAGTCGATTGCTTTCAACAAATCAAGAATTACTTAACCAAGAATTACAATTGCCATTTACGTAACAATAAAAAGATTAATAACACGGACAAAAGGACTAATAATACAGATATTGTAGTCTAGCCGAGGATTGAACTTACGCAATTTACATGAACAATATGTAACGACAAACCAATAATAAGAATTGTAGAGACTGAGTTTTATGTGACGTCTGTATGACACAAATACTTTGGTTATGGTCAATTAAGTCAACAAAAACTTTCTTTCTCAATATCCATTGTCCGTGTCGAAAATCGTTTATTTCCAAGTTGTTTTTTTTTCCACATTTTCCTTCACGCTTCGAGGTCTGCCGAACTGTGGCGCTGTTAGCTCAAATAATTAACTTCTTGACTCTTCGAACTACGTTACAGTGACAATCGTTGAGTATGAATTTTCATAAGGTACAGTTCCTAATAATTTCTCAGCGAATATTCCAGATATTATTTACCGTTGTCCAAGCTTGATTCCAATCGTCGCTGCATCGCTGCTCGGTACTTTAGAATTTAGGTCCCGTTAACTGATACCAAAGTTATTCTAGGTATCTCGACACCATCCACCCTGTGCACGTTTCTGGTGAAAGTTTAACGCAGTCGTACGCCACGTGAATATTATGTCTTCGTGGTGCAGGTTTATCAATAAATGTCGAAACTACTAACAAACGGCGATCGAGACGGAAATACGGGAGGAATAAATTGATAGAATGTATCGAAGGAAAGAAAAATGTTAAGGATAACGTAGAAATGACTCCTTTAATAAGAGCGTTGTTACGTGTAATCGCGCAACGTCGTAACAGGTGATAAATCCTATGTAAAATATACGTCACGACGTCTAAATAATTTTCGCAAACAAACTTTTAAGCCTTGTCTCACTTTGCAAGAGGCGACTCTGACTGTGCTGCAAGTCAGGCTCAAGCTGCCTCGTGCTTCTTCATTTCTGCACAATTCTAATTACACCGTACTTGCATCGCTTGGACTCGCGGGCAAGACCCACGCGAATTTCAGAATTCATTATGCAAATTCTTGTGCGTCGATGCCAAAACAACGGAGTGCCGCGGTGTATCAGTTCATTCTGATGGGAACGATTAATTTCGACGTATTTTCAACTGTACCCTATTTTGCTCTGACAACTTTTTCTTTTTATTGAACATAAAAGAGATAGCATGTTTAGCATGTTCGAGCATTATCAAAATACCCTAAACAAGATGAATAATTGTCATTTTTCTTTTTTTCATACAAACAAAATTCCCTATTTACAAAATTGATTCGCGTTAATTTTTTTAAAAAACTTGTAGTACCCAAATATTACCAATACGTACGTCCATATTATTCGTCACTGAGGACACGTGAAACGTGCATTTCGAACGGACGCGACAGAGCAGCAAAAAAAATGGCGACTAAATTCTTTCGAGGCAAAACAAAATTTGTCGAATACAAAAATAAATGAAATACCAAAAAGTATCGATAATACAAAAGAATATTCGTACCTGATATACAAAGTATAATGATAAACAGTAAAAAAGTTTCAGCCTCTTCATTCGACTTGCGTAGTTAAATAAAATTGTCGCTCAAGCGTTTCTTACGTGACGAGAATTTTTCATTTCTGCGATATCCTTTCGAAATTACATAACCGTCGAAAACATCAGGATCATAACGCGGTCGTTTATACGCGTTGTTCGTACCAAGGCACAATTTGATAATTGCGATGAATTTGAGGAGAAAAGTGTATTCTTTCAAGTAACTACTCGAGACACTAATTCCCGGAAATGATAAGCTGTCATTAACGACTCCCACATACGAGCATTGGTCAGGGCTGTAGTCACCGGAATACATTTTACGTATGCAATCCTACGTACTCTACCTACTCTACATACTCCATGTCCTCTTATGCCTTATCGATGCTACTCGGCAAAAGCCTATCCTTCTAATTCAATATGGATTCCACATACTCACCTGTTGTCACTGTATCAGGAATCGTTTGCATGCCAAATAATTTCGCGACATAGTCCCAATTTTTTTTTCGCCAAAAGTATGTTAAACATATGTAATACAGAACGACACGTTACTTTGGAAAGTTTCCAGTGAAAATTGCCTAATAGTTTTTCTTAATCGAGAACGCGCGTACGGGGTCAATGGTTACTACGTAAAATTTGAAAATCGGTAAAAAAATTTTATGGATCCAGGTGACTCGATGGAACAGTAAACAAAAATTGTATCGCGCGCCACGAGATAACAAAAGTATTGACTTCCTGTCCGAAAAGTCAGATTATACCAATTGGAACGAATAGCTAAAGTCAAAAGCTACGCTTTCTATCAGTGGGCTCTTCACTGATTTACGATGCACGTTTGGCTACATTATGTAAATTCATTGCTGGCACGAGCGAAAATAGTTTGAGATAAAAACGGACTCCTCGAGACCGCCACTGAGTCTTTCGCGATAAGGATTATTGCTTCGGATTTCGACTTCCGAATCGTCTGGCAGCCGTTAAGAGTCATCAGTAAAACGTTTTATCGACGTATGCAAGGAAATTACAGGCGCGTCTCGATCGTAGATCCAGAACCACCCGGACTCGGCCATATTGTTCGAGGTCAGAGGATCACACGGCAATTTGCCGCTCGTCCTTCTGAAAGTCCGATCTCCATCAGCCTACGAACTGATAAACCTGATAGGATTTCCGGTTTAGCCAGCCGAGAAATTTGAGATCGACCCAGACCTAATTCACTCTTCCCGTCGCTAAATACCGCAAAATTGAGAGAACCCCCAGATAGCCCATGGACAAGATATCGCCTATGATTTCCGCCCTGAATGTAGCAAGTAAAAAAACAGCATCGATCACTCGTAATATTAATCTTACATTTATTTTTGAAAATTGTAAAAAAAAAAATCAAATTCTGCCGTCCGGTTATCTTGGAAAGCGTTCGACAACAGGCTCGATCGATCATGCATAAAAATTTTATTTTCTTTTTTTCCCCTCATAAACAGAACCATTGCGCCATCTAGCCGTGTAGGTTTTACACAGTGACCTCTCGCCAGCAGAACTTTCGATCTCTTTTTTTTTTGACCACCCGTCAGACTCGGCATTCAAAACTAGAACGTCGTAGGTAACTTTGGTGAAATCGGTCCAGCACCTTTCGGCCTCATTGAGTTTCTTGATCCTTCAGCATATCCAGACACCCAGAAACACCCGTTAGTCAAAGCAACCCCTACTCTGTTGATATCGAATAATAATAACGTAAATCCATTAATCCGTAGCACCCAAAGTGATACCGTATAATTTAATATTAAATGATTTATCGTTGAGGGATTTCCCTGAGACAAATATTGGTACTTGCATCTTGTGAGCACAGCATAATATATCGGACGTTGACTTTCTAATGCAAGATGTAAGAAGTCCCTCCATGCAGTCGGAGTCGCATAGAGCAAAGTACTTGGAGGTCAATACACTCTTACCAGTTCTAAGTACCAAGCAGCTTTATTATGTTTTTGCCGTTGGCAGAGAACTGCCTGTGCTCGTCGACATTGGTTATTACTCAGGATTTACGCACTTTATTTATACCACCCATAAGAGACCAGCCTCTGTAATAATTTGCATTCCTACTGTACGTTCGCGGTTGAAGATCATCGGCATAATAGATGCCTGCAATATGTTGCGTACGTAAATATTTTACCCGCTGACGTTTCCATATGTATTTAGCTTGAAGTATCGAAAGAGTAGAAATATCTGTTGCGAGTGGTCCGTTTGGACAGTAAAAACGAGCAAGGTGTATACTGGGAATTAAATTACCCAAAGCGTTGGTGCAAACGAAACTTGTACAGTAAATAATTTATATGGCATCTAGGAGTTAGATGTTACCTAATCGTGGTTAGACACGTTGGAAAAATCTTGCAATATTTCAATAGCTACTTGTATAGCAAACTAAACGTTCGCCGCTTGTCTTTTGTTTCAACAATTGCGACAGCTGTCGATTCTTACTGAAATCGCCAGCCGTTGGAATTGCCCGTCGTAAAAGTGTCATATACTCGTCATGCTGGTTTCCTTTTTTTCCACGAAATATCTACTACGATTTACTGCCAGGATCGAACGATCGGTCTGAAGTATGTCATAATATATTTTTTTAATTATTGCAAATATTTTATGCTCTTCGAACCTCATTATTAATTCTAGTAAAAAAGTTATGGGACAAAAATTCGTGCTGCGCGTCGTACGACTGATATTAAGGGTCGTTTCCACCAACGCCAGTTCAGGCATTCGCTAAGAATTAAATTTGACGTCGACCAATCAGACGCCCCGACTCTCGAATCGTTCTCGTGAATCTCGCAGGCCGGCCAGTGTTTTTCAAACGTGAAATCACACGCGAGAAACGTTAAGGCAAACTCGTAAATACGCGCCCCAATGCTCGGGCAATAATTTCTTAGTTCAATTTTCTCGCTTCTGTCGCTGCAACTGACGCTGAGCAGTCACGGAATATTTTTTTTTATAAAATATACTTAAACTCATTTTATTATCGAGTGATAAGAGTCCCGTCGATAAATCAATCAATCGATAAGACGTATCCATAGCGTGAAAAGTGCGAACCGTCCAGACGTATTACGAATGTCAGGGGCATTGCTTTGTGGCGACGTGTCTCCCTTGCGAGGAACGCACATTGGTCTACGGCATTCCGGCGACGTCGCTCGTTCGAAACGCGGTCGGAGGAATCTCGATGTCAAAGAGTAAGCAAATGTCACAGTTAACGACTCTTAATGCTGCTCGACGACGCGTCTGTCATTGAATCTTGTGGAATTGGACACCGTCAAAATGTCACGAATATCCAGTGTTGTGTCGATCGTTGTTAAACAGAAGTCGTATAGGTTATGTGCGCACAGACATGTACGTCGTCGCGCAGAGAAAACTGACAGGATAATTATGAGTTTGATTTAATACAAGGAATTGTGCTGTCTTACGTCGATGTTAGATTGGTTGAAAATAATGTGCGACGATTATTACGTTTTAAAATAGCTCGAGGCTCGTTGGGTAAGTATTACAGAATTCAACGGTCAGAAACATGGCCACGCTACGATGTTTACTTCTTGATACGGAACTTTCGTTCGGAGGTTTATGCAACTTCCAGTCGCTTAACAGGATATGCGGAGTACGTGAAAATTTGCGGTAACAAGTATATACGTATGATATATGTATTTGTTGACGTATGGTTATTCTCACACGAGGAATATGAAACGCGGAGTGATCAGGGTGGCATTGTTTTTTTTTTTTCTAGAAGTATTTTTCACTCGGGTATTGCGATTGGTGATTGCATCATGCATAAATACTTTTTATTTGATATTATATAAGTTTGCACTATGCATTACGAATTTCTTAACAAAAGATCCCGTGAGCTTTGATTGATGTATTGTAAAAAAAGAGAGGTTATGTTACGATACCTCCAGGTATCTTATCTAGATGAAGTGATTCCTTTTTTTTAAATTTAAGGTCAGACAAATTATTTCTACATATTGATCGAGATCGAATTGCTTCTTATTTGATTGTACGATTATCTGAACTCTTGATATTTCGATTTCAAGTTTAATTTGATTGACTGCTCGAAAATATTGTCTTGTGGAATACTCGAAATTATTTACGTTTGAATCTGCTAAAAAATTTTTACGATCCAGACGGCCACATCAAGCATATTCCCAGACAGCGGAAGAGGTCTAGGTTTGAGATAAATCCTATGGATATATCTTAAATGAATGTTCCGGAAGAAGTCCCACAAACGTCCAGAAAAGGTCTCGGACCTTTTTCTGGGACATCCTGAGGTGGTGAAATTGTCCGCCAATTTATGATCCTTCCCAGACATCCTGGGAATAACCCATCAAAACACATAGACATTTTATGAATCCAAAAAATATATATCAATAAACATAATTTTTACAAGCCATCCAGTCGATCCTGAAGATGTCCTAAGGAAGTTCACAATAGGCTTTCCCAAGATTCATAAATGTTCATCCGAAACAAGACATCCCGAGGATGTCCTAAGGTCGCCGGGATGGTTTTGGGAAATTCAGGATACAGGTTGGGATAATTCCCGAGGACGTCCTGTGCTGTCTGGATTCTTATGAATATTAAGAATCCAATACACGCCTTCCATAAAGCATTCAGAATCTTCTCTTTTCTTTCCATTAAAGAATATTATTCATAAAACGATAATACCTGATTCGATTCTTCATGAAGATTATATTATTAGATACTTTTCAATATGGCTGCCAGATTAAAGTGCAAAGCAAAATCGTAAGCGGACATCGATTGTAAATCGCTACTCGCTAATGGCAGAGCACTGTTCTCCTTTACTCTAAGTGCAATTTTACTGCTGACAATAACGTACGACCGACTGTATATCATTCTAGAATATGGCGTATACGGTAACACGACATGAAGGATCGATCCTCCATTACAAGGCCGACCATTTCACGGTTCTGATTCCGTTTGCGGCACGAAGCCTCCTACCGTTCACGGTTCATGGAAACTGTCAAGCAGTTGAAACTGCACGAAGAGCCAATAATATATTAAACTTGACACCTGAAAGCTGTTGTTCACCTGGGTTCGTTATTACCTCTTTCTTTTTTTTTTCCAGAAATCCCACCTGGTGGAAAAGACGATCGGCCCTGGAACGTGGTTTAACGATTGTAGCAGTTTCCGGTGCCCTTTTGTGTATCGCATTGGCCGTAGCACTCGGAGTCCTCGCCAGTAATGTTGGCCCGTGTGACGTCAGCACCACCGGTAAGTGTCAAATTTGAAAAACCAAATTTTTGCTTATCACTACACAACTTTTTTTTGTCCACCTGACTGTTGCAAAAACCGTGCACGTGGCTTGAGACTCATTCCATCTCATGATAAACATTTTATAATAAAATAAATTTCTTAAAGATTAATTGGGTCAACTTATAGATAGGTACCGATATTTTTTTTGTCATATAAAAAAATTTTCTTTCGAACAAAATTTGACTGATTTTTTGAGTTATTCTAGCGGGCTATAAAGATTAGCGAATTATCATGTTTATCAATATTCCTCTTAACGCCTTATCGATCACTTGCGCAACAAGTCTATCAGTCTATTTTCTACTATACCAGACTATTCTCTCACGATGAACAAGAGTGAATTAATGTAAGCGCATTTTATAGCAGGCTCTATGATTGCCCATAATTATCTTGACGATTATAAACTTAATTGCGACCCCGCGAGACACGATGCCGTAGCCAGAGAATGCCAAGCGTATCGTTTACGGCATTTCAAACCGTAAAAGGACTCGTCAGCCACGATCCAAGGCCGCAATCGCGTCTAATATACGTACGATAAAGATAATCGAGATAATTCGATCTTATCGATAATAGTCGATTTATCGAAAATCATAACCAACACAAATCAAAATATTTACAAATCGCGTCCAATGACTTAAGGCAGATTAAGTCAAATGAAATCTTAATATTTTTTTATCTCCACCTACCAATAAGTCACGTTTCAATAAAGTGACGTAGCGAGTCCAGGATGTTCGTGTACTCGCGACCGGAAGACGTTCTGACGTCGCGACGCTTGATGTCCCGAATACAATATTTTTAGGTGAACTCTTCTCCCAACAGTCCCAATCGTTCCGATCGAGGTTAATTGATCTACTTGGAATTCGAGTTAGGGGCGCAGGCAGGGTCGGGGGCCAGATGAACGTAAACGCGTTAAAACGTTTGAGGGGTAAAAGCGCAGGAACGTAGACGCCTAATTTGCACGTCCGGCAATTACTAAGACCGAGCACGATTTATTAAAACAGCCAAATTCGGGCGTAACTGCTTATCCTAGGTAACAGGCGCAATCGACCACTTTTATAGTGGATCCTCGCTAACTTTAGTTAAGTTCAAATTAGACCATCGAATCTGTCACTTTTATTTTGGGAGTCGGTTAGAAATCTTAGAGAATAATTTTGTAGACCTAACGCCTACTTGGATATATAATCTACGTACCGATGTACGAGGATCAGTATAGGGGAAGATAAAAAGAGTCTGTACGGTCCACGCTCCTTTTCACGCTATTTGTATCGTCTAATGCACGCTTCTGCACTTTCTTTCCGCAAATGTCACCACGCCTGCACCTGCACGAGAATAGTTCCTGATAACAGTGAGATGCTACCATCCACAGCGGAGGCTCTTGGCGGTGGACCACCTGCCAAGGATGTCTTCAGTGTCAGTCGTGGACCTGAGTCAGACGACGTCTGCTTTACAGCGGGATGCGTTCACACAGGTACGTTGTTATTTTATGTAAAATTGTCTCTGACTTTGTTGTGTCTAAGACTCTGGTGTGTCTTTACGCAGCATCCAAAATACTGGAGAGCATGGATCCTAATGTGGAGCCCTGTGACGACTTCTATCAGTTCGCCTGCGGTGGATTTCTCAAAGAGACCACCATACCTGATGATAAGGTCAGCGTGACCACCTTCAGTGTTATCAGCGACAAGCTGCAGGAGCAGCTCAGGTTGAGCATCGAGGAGGAAAGCTCTCCTCACGAACCGAAGCCATTCAGACTGGCCAAGAACCTCTACAAAGCTTGTATGAATAAGAGTAAGTGCCTGATGAGCAAGCTGTCGAGTGTTATCGGATCTAAGTGACGTGCTTTTGCAGCTGCTATCGAGTCCCTGGGTCTGGATCCTTTGAAGAAGATCCTCCAGAAGTTGGGTGGGTGGCCGGTTCTCGATGGGGACTCCTGGAAGGACGGTGACTTCGATTGGAAGAAGAGCGTCTACGTCTTTCGTAAAATGGGCTACTCCGTCGATTATTTTATAGACTTCAGCATCGGCGTCGACCTCAAGAACAGTACTAAGCGCGTGATCGACGTAAGTGACATTTCGGAATTTTCTGGAACGTATGGGGAAAGTTTATTTATCGTAATGACCAATATTTGTTTTTATTACAGCTCGATCAAGCATCTCTTGGACTCTCGCGAGAATATCTCTCCAAAGGATTTGATGATAAGATCGTGCAAGCTTATTACAGCTACATGGTAGACATCGCTGTAATTTTGGGAGCTAACAAAGCAACTGCTGCTAAGGAACTCAAACAATCATTGGAATTTGAGATAAAACTCGCCAATGTGAGTTTAAATATTTTTTTCAAGGATTCTCTGGCACTTCTCATGAGCTCTTGATAATCATTTGCGTTTTATTCTTTAGATCTCCCTGCCTAATGAGAAACGTCGTAATGCTACTCTTCTCTACAATCCAATGACTATCGCGGAATTGACCAAGACCTATAACAGCGTTCCCTGGAAGGAATACTTCAATAATCTTCTACCATCCAATGTTCAGGTCGACGAGAACGAAGTGGTTATTGTTAATGTCCCTAGTTTTATTTCTGATCTGGAGGAGCTTTTGAGTCAAACGCCAAAGAGAGTGCAAGCCAATTACGTCATGTGGAGAGCAGCTGGTGCTTCAGTGAGTTATCTTACTGAGGAAATTCGAAAAAGGCAATTGGCTTACTCGACCGCCTTGAGTGGAAAAACCGAACGCGAAGCAAGATGGAAGGAATGCGTGGATATCGTATCCGGAAGTCTGTCGATCAGTGTAGGAGCACTTTACGTCAGAAAGTATTTTAAGGAGGACGCTAAGAAGACTGCAGTAGAAATGGTCGCTGATATCAGAGAAGAGTTTACGAAAATTTTGAAAAAGGTGTTACTTCGTTTTTATCAAAAACTAGATTATCCACTTTTGGGCCTTTTTCGAATTTATTCATATTTCAGATCGAATGGATGGACGAGGAAACGAGAAAGAGCGCTCTGGATAAAGCTGCTTCCATGTCCAGTCATATTGCTTATCCTGATGAACTCTTGCATGACAACAAACTTGAGGAATTTTATCAAAATTTGGAACTGACTTCCGACAATTATCTTGAAAGTATCTTGAATCTGACTCTCTTTGGCACGGAATATTCTTTTAGCAAACTTCGAAAACCTGTGAACAAGAGCGACTGGATAACTCATGGAAGACCAGCAGTAGTAAACGCATTTTATTCATCCATTGAAAACAGTATACGTAAGTAAACTTGATTATTTGAAACCAAAAGAAAAAGGAAAATTAATCGACTCAACCTGTCGATGATCCTGTTCACAGAATTCCCTGCTGGCATTCTCCAAGGTGCCTTCTTCAGCAACGATCGTCCCAGGTACATGAACTACGGCGCTATTGGATTCGTGATTGGCCATGAAATCACTCATGGATTCGATGATCAGGGCAGACAGTTCGACAAGGAGGGCAATTTGGTAGACTGGTGGGCGCCGCAAACTAAGGAGAACTACCTGGAAAGGGCGGAATGTATCATCAATCAGTATGGAAATTACACAGTGGAGGAAGTCGGATTAAACGTGAGTCAATGCTAGTAGAAGTAGAAGGAGACATGAATGCTAGTCGTTTTCTAACAAAAATTAACATTCTTATACATACCCGTATAACTATCTATTGATAGCTTAATTCAAACAGCTAGAGCAATATAAATGGACTGTATGTCAGTTAAATATTGACTAACTGTCCTTGAAAAGCTAATAAGTGAAGACAGACTAACGAGTAATAACGTATCATTACTTTTACACTTTGCTTAATTATAAAGGCGTTAAATACTATTTTAATGACAGTACTTAGTCAATGACAATAAATCAAACGTTATCTGACACTTTTAAAGGCAGTCGTAAGTACACTGATATAAATGCCTCTCTATGGTTTCACAGTTGAACGGTATAAACACGCAAGGTGAGAACATCGCAGACAATGGCGGAATCAAGGAAGCTTATCTGGCATACAATCAATGGGTTAAGCGAAACGGTCCCGAGAAGAAGCTTCCAGGTCTACGATACACTCCTCGTCAGATGTTCTGGATCAGTGCTGCAAACACGTGGTGCAGTAAATACAGACCGGAAGCCATCAAGTTGCGTATCACAACAGGATTCCACAGTCCTGGAGAATTCCGTGTCCTGGGGCCTCTTTCAAACATGCCCGAATTTTCAAAGGACTTCAAGTGCCCACTTGGCACTAAGATGAACCCAGAGAAGAAATGCTCCGTCTGGTAGAGCCTAAATGACATTTCGATCGCAGGAGTCAGAAACTTCCGGTAGGAAATCCAGATGAAGAACGAAAGAGGAGGTTGTTGATTGCCAACAGGAAACGATCGTTAGATTTATATCTGATCGCATCATGACCGTCCTTCCTTCATCTTTGAAAATGATGCCAATCCATTTCCATCCACATTAACGTGCTTTTGTTATATTCTCGCTAGGTCTGCTCTCTGGTACTCATTTAAAAAAAAAACCAGAATCCGTGGCTCCGCATTTGCATCAAATCCAAAAACATGAGTCACGTACAATGGAAAGATTCATCAGGTTCCTTCGATCCCATTTCTATTGCGCGAATGTTCCTGTCGCGAGATTTTTCTATAAATTCTTCTTCCTTCAGCTAATCGCATATCGTCTTTGTATACGGAAGTAGTCGCGTACAGTCGTGATCCGTCCACGAGAAGGCAGTGTTACTATCGATTGTTATGACGATTCCTGCAGACACTTCTACGGGAGTACGGAGTTACTAATCGAGAATGAGTTTGTCATCGATTTAAAAAAGAAAGCTTAAATCGATCTGTCGTCTCATCGACTCCTTCGCTACGGCGATCTTTCATTCTGGAGGAATATTTATATCACTGTTATACGCATTGGAACACTGTATATACAGACGAAACGATGTAACGGAAGTTTATTGACGTGTGAGACGGTCGTGAAAGATGAAAATAAAATTTTACTTCGTTAATTATAAATTCGCTATTGATCATTCACGATCGTTTCACTATACAACGTTATCGAGCGTATTGAGATATTTAAAAGAATTCCAAGACGTTTAAAGATTCTGAAAAATGTACATTTGGCCATATATAGAATTTGCAAAATTTTTACAGATAAAGTGTAGTTCATACTTGCGAATTAACAGGAATTTTCTACTCTTCTTGTGACTTCGTATATTACATAGGGTTATAAGTATTCTTTTGATGTAATGTGGTATCATGCGTGATCGTTGGATTGAAACTTTAAAAGTTACACATGTTTTTTGTTTCTGTCTTTTTCCTCGTTATTTACGTACCGAATTCAAATTCAATTGGAAAATATTCAAAGTTGTTAATTAAAGTTACCGTTACGAAGTATTTAGACGATCTAGTATTAATCGTAGCTGTTATCATAACTGACAAGCATGCATTGCGCTGCTTTAACACGTTATCATACTACCCATTTACACTTCATCGCAAACTCTCATGCATAAACAGGTATACACGCGATACACATTTGAATAATATTAATTAATTTGTTAGAGCTTCTCTGTCCATGGCAAAAGCGTAGTGCCTAACACTAGAGTTTGCGATAGTTCATATTTATTACAACGATGTATTATTTTGCGTTTCAAGTAAACGAAGAAACTGCATATATTTAGTAATGTATTTGTTGAATGTAAAGTTTTAGTAATAAAAAAAAAAGAAAATCATTCAGCTCATTCAATTATCTGCGTGATTATCATCCAGATGTGTTTAACCTTTTGAGTCCCAAGCAGCGCGATCGCGCTGTTTTGCTTTTGTCAAAAAATTCTAGTACGTTTGAGCGCTATCGATTAAGAAAGCGCTATTGCGCTGTTCGGCGTTTCTCGATAATGTTCTTTCAATGGCCCCTGGGATTCAAACGGTTAATAAATTAAAAATATAAAGAGGATCAAATATCAACTGTACAAGTCAGTTTGAAAATCAATAAATTTCAGTCGTTAAATTGGAACAATTTGATATTTATTAGTTGTACTCATACGCATGAAAATGTAATTTTCAAGCCTGTGCATTGTACGTAGTAACTTACAATAATGGAACCAATTGTTATCGCAGTGATTGTAACAGTTTTTGTCAATATACATATATTGCCAAGCTTTCGCGGTATTTACATATGTATTTTGTTTACACATGACACTCATGATGCAAGAGTGCGAGACTTGCATATAGGTTTGGTAAGTTCATTAGCACGATCTACCCCCTAGCATTTTGCTACCAGCCGCACATTTTCACTCAATATTCCAAGATCAGTCCAGTACGTGATAACATTCTCTCGTATGGCCTCTATTAATTACACAATAACACTTAGCCTGATTATCAGGCTACTGTTAACTAATTCGCAGGTGCTGCCTCTATTGCCTGTAAGTTTGACTTCGTTTGGGAATTTGAATCTGCATTTTCATTTTCATATGTAGATGAAACTTCCTCCTTCTCTTCTTTACTCTGCCACTGGACCTGTGAAATTAAGAGTAAACTTATTTATCTTATCCTGATGTCTTGCGAGATAGCTACATTAGTAAATGTTATATTAAATCGTACCCTCTCTCTGTGTTCTCGAACAGCTTTATTACACTCCTCGATGGCCATTTCCTCTGTAAGGATACCATCCACGGAGGCATAGGCAGCTGCCTGCCACGAAACTCCTAATTTGGCTAACTGACGACCAGACATTCCTTCAGTCATCTCTGCCACCTTGCTGCAGAGAGCACTGTAGTCGAATTGAGCGACCTTTAACCTTCTCTTACCCTCGGTAGCTGGTTGAAGGACGAATTTGTCAAAGTACAACCGAACTAAGCGCTCGCGTTCTTCTTTTCCAGGTAGAGAGAAACGTACCATGACGTCGAGACGATCGTCAACTGCATAATCGAATTGTTTAGCTGTGTTGGAAGCAAGAACCAGCATGAACTTGTCACTTTGTTCGCCAGTTCTGTATAAAAAGGCGTTCAATGCTGATCTGAGATCCTGTGAAATCTGTTCACCCAATCTTTTCCTGAGGAAGGCGTCAGCTTCATCAATGAATAGCAAGAGGCCTTTCCTTGATGTAGATGCCCAGTCGAAAACTTTGTGAATGGCCGTGACACCATCCTGACCTAAGGGTGCTATGTCACCACCTGTCAAGATGGCGTAATCCATTCCGGAATGTTGAGCCAACTTCTTTGCAAACATTGTTTTCCCTGTTCCTGGTGGACCGTATAACAAAAGATTTCGGTACATTCCTCGGTTCTGTTTTGTGTTTTTAGTTATTATTGCGATGTCACGCAATCGCTCCTCAAGTTTCGGCGCGAGAACTACACCAGATAAGGCGTCTGTATTTTTGTCTTTAAGCTTTTTTATAGCCTTGATCGGATGCTTCACGGTATCCAGTACAGAAAATCGTGAAGTTTCTCGTACTAAGGACGGTTTCCCTAGATGAGCCTCGATATATCGTGCAGCTACACCAGTCGAGTTCTTTGCAGCGTAGCCTCCGAATAGTACAAGACTTAACCCACCCGCGAGTGCAAGAATTTTATCCCAGTCTTGAAGCAGAGAAGTGGCACCAGTTCCCAGAATAGATCCAACAGTCCTGAAACATTTATTTTAAAGAGTTCAATTTGTTTGCAGTAAGTATCGCAAGGATTAAAAATAAAGTATAGGTATAAAATAACATACGTAAGAGATTCAAGACGAGTTTTTCTATTTTCTGAAGCTATTAATTGAATTTTCTTTAGATCCACATCTTGGTTTTCTCTATCTGCTTTAGCCTTGGCTTTTATTTCAGCTTCCACTCTTTTCAATTCATTTTTATTCCTCAATTCCATTTCATGCTCTATTGTGGCTTTCCTCATAGCTTCTTGCTTAGCTACGGACTCTTCTTGTCTTCTCAAATTCTCATCATTCATTCTCTGTTGCTGAGCTAATTGATCATCGTATCTTTTCCTGGCTAATTGGTCCTGATACTGAGCCTTCATTTGATGCTGCTTAGATTCCTCCTGTAATGTCTTCCGCCTCTCTTCTCCCTCAATCCTCTTTTGTTCGCCCTTCATTTGCTCAATACCAGCTTCATACTCCTTTAACTTCATTTGCATTTCAGTCTGTCTGGTAAGTTCTTGCATCTCAGCAAGTTTCAAAGCTTCCTTCGCATGTGCTAAAACCAACAGACTCGAACATTACATAAATACAAAAGAAAATCTTTCAGGGTATCCTCACTGATTAGAAACTAATCTACAGTTACGACTTTATCAACCTACGAAACAATTTTGAATGATCCCACAACTTTTCATTCATCTATTCTATATAATAAGATAGTCCAAGAAATTGCCAGTGTTCGAATGTCCGATATTATTAAACTAAAAACATTATCAGGACTTTTTCCAAAGCTTTCCATGACTCCGAACGTATTATCACTTAAAAAATACAACTAAAAGAAGGCTTCATAAAACTTGTATCATCTCGCAGACAGGGGGTCATCTTCCATCGTGACTTAAAAAAATTCAACGAAGGCAACCATAACCCATAAAACCAGTTGCAGCTTACGTAATATTATATAAGGTGAACATGAAGCAAGAAAATAACAAATAAAATCAAGCATACCGGATCGTTCGAGCTCTTTGGCAGCCGCCGCGGCTCTTTCCAATGCTCTCGAATCGAATCTATACGCTTCCATTTGAGTCTTCGTCATCGTATTCTTGGGTGGCTGATCACCGCCTCCACCGGCACCGTCTCCGGATGCCGGTGGCTGTACCAATTGCGAGAAATCTTGAGGCGTTTGTGATCCGCGGTATCCAAAAAGCCACGACATCTTAAATTTTAAGTTTCTATTGATACGTCACGACAGTTTATTATATGCAAACACGTTTTACAACACTATACACCGGTACGAGAAGGTAGCACACGACACGCTTTTCTACACTCTTCTCTACTGCTCTATTCCCCACGTGCACATTCTGACGAAAGATGATGAAAGAGCAAAACGGGCGGACCAGGGCGGACTCTGAACCGGAGATTGACCAGAGCCGACAATACTCCGAATATATACGAAGAGAGAACGAAGATGCTCGAACGCTTGCGCGCCTCAATTAAACGGCCATTTTGAAATATTTGTCGTTGGCGCTCTCTTGTGAGGCCGAATGCTGTTCTTTGACAATATTATACGTAAGAAATGCTAGTACATTTGTAATTGAATGAATATTTGAATGCTCACAAATTTTAGTTGGACATTTTACAATTGTTGAGAATTGTATTAGGGACCTAACGGCCTTTTTGTTTAGTTTGATTTGGTCCCTTCAAGCAGCACCATCACTGTTTCTAGTGTTGGCAAAATCCGTCGAGATAGAACTTAAATCGGGAGAAATGTGAATTTCTATGAGTGTAATATATGATATTGTATACTCGAATATTTAATAGTGATGCAGAATAATCTATTGAGTGGATTTGCCGAGAAAATACGGAAGCAGCAGTGTGTTGTGGAGGCTGAAAAGAAACAGTCAGCTCGCTGAATAAGCAAGCTACCAGACGGAAGATTAGAAAAAGGAAGAATTGGTATCGTATTTTCTGTTTTGACATTGTATCTTTTTATTTGTATGGAAAACAATTTCATTATCTTTTAGAACTTCTGATAAATGTAAATGTACAGATCTACCTAGGTTAGAGGGAACATGCACGATGAAAGTAACTGTGTAGAATAATAAAAGGAAAGAGATCATAGCGTATGCCCTGAAACTATGAAAATCTCAATCATTCCAACAACATTTTTCGCACATTGGCAATCTTACGTCATAAGAAATTTCTATAAATTGCGAGGCGACATTTCTAGTCGTTTCGCATTAATTTTAAGTCGAGTAGAGTCTCACTCGGCCGCTTGCCGGTACCACCGGTTGCCTGTACCTGGCGCGAAATTCGACCAAGTCTTTTGAAGGCTCGACGAGTCACTCATCTGTCAAATTCCTTCCCAAGAATTTGAGATTCAAAACCTAAATGACCAATGCCGTCCGTTTTTTGTAAATTAGTAGCTGTTTATGTTGAATATTAAGAACAAATTTTAGACTAAGAAAGCAACTAACTATATATTAGATTATTAGTTCCTTTATTTTAGTTCAAACTTTATTGCTCTAGTTTAAAATCATTTTACAAAATATACATATATTGTTGCTCTTATTTACAATGATTCACGTCAAATACTGTTTCGGTGGATTTTCTAATTTCTTTTACCTTGAAAGTCAAACTATCGTATTTATAAGATTTTGTTCATTTGTACAAAAAGCAATGCCACACTAGAAAACGCATACTCGAAATGTTTTAATGTATCTGGTCGATAATGGTGATTGTGGAAATCAATGAATTTATTAAAAGACTACGTAACATCATTATGTCTTTAGCGCTATCCAATATTACAGATTATAGTCTTACAATAAATAAACTCTGTTTCAAATGTAAGAAAATATGTTACAATCGCACACCACCTAGTTTATCATTCGCAAAATCACGTTGATGATTTGATTTAAAAAACGCTTAAATTTTCAAATAACAACACTCGATGCATCGCTTATTAAAAAATATTTATCACGTTCAAAATAAGCGATGAAATTTATACAAATTTATAACACGAGCTTGAAATTTCTGCGAAATTTCAAAAACTCAAAGTTTGCTTTCAATATCGTCATTGATGGGAATGGGATTAGTTGCCGAACATTGTTCCTTAAATGTCAGTTCATTCTTTTTTGGTTTGTCCTTCAGATTGTGAATACCAGCATAATGATTCTCGATCTCTTCAAGTGTTCTACCTTCCGTTTCCGGTAGTATAAAATACAATGCAACAGTACCCAAAAGATTGACACTCGCGTAAAACCAAAAAGTGCCAGCAAGCGTGATGCCTTCGTTCATATACAAGAATACTTTATTGACAATGAAGTTGAAGACGTATGCAATGGAACTAGCGGCACCGGAAGCTCCACTTCTCACCTAAAGGAAAAGAAAAAAAGAAAACATTGAAAAAGCTGAACCTTTGCTATAAAAATGTTCATCGAGCTTGATCTCCTTAAAGAATAAATAAAACATATGGCAAACCTGTCCAGGAAAAACTTCTCCAATGAGAATCCAAGGTAGAAGTTTAATTCCCACGTGCGACATGAACGCAGCCCCAATGAGTAGAGTCATTGGCACCCAAGTATATTTTTCGCCATTCAATTTCCCTTCGTCTATCATATATGTGTAAACGGCAGTGCCAAAAAATCCAAGACCCGTACCAACGGTAGATAGAAAAGAAAGCTTTCGTTTTCCAGTGAAGTGTATGGCAGAGATGCATATGAGCGTCCCCGCAAGTTCAGCGGCCCCAAGGAACACAGCAGCCGTGTAATTATCGATGGGGGCATTCAGCTCAGAAAATATGACAACAGCAAAAGTTTGCAGACTGTGAACCCCGCCAAAGGCAGAAATGAAGAAGGTCACGATCATCAACGTAAAAGGTAGATAGAAGGTGCGTCTGGTGTATCCTATCCAAGGTTTCTCTTTAATCGTTCCTTCGGATTCTTTTCCCGCAGGTTTGGACATCGATTTACAAAGCGCCTGGAATTCCTTTCGCACGTGGAGTGGTGTCACCCATCCCCGTAGCCAGCAGAGGGCACGTTCCGCACTCTGAAGACGACCTTTGCCTTTTGATAAGTACACAAAATAACGTATAAAATGTTTTTATCAATTTCATAATTATCAGGTATTGCTGTGACCAATTGATAAGTACCGGCTAACCAGTAAGGACTCTCTGGTACCAGACACAGAGCAGCAAAGCACAAGACTGGATAAGCTGTATTGATAAGAGCCACTGTTCTCCAACCAGTCATACTTCCTGCCAGCAATTGTGTGAATACCCCCAGGATGACGGACGTTGTCGAGGTGGCGGACAACATTCCCCGGACGTGAGGTTGTGTGATTTCCGCTACGTACGTCAGTACAGGTGCTTCGATTAAACCGCCAGTGATTCCAGTCAGACATAAAGCGATGAGCAATGTCGTAGGATTGGTAGCATAGTGAAATAATAACCAGGCAATGGTAAACGGTACGGTAGCGATCATCATAGTTTTTCGTCTTCCAAAAAATTGCGAGATTGGACCGCTGAACACGCAACCAACTGGCACGAGAATTAGATTGATGCTGCCTGTATAGTAATTTTAAGAAGAAATAATTAATGGGATAATAGTAAGAATTTTAAAAGATTTCTTTTCTTTCAGTTTTATACATACTGATCCATGACAGTTGTTCCGTGTTGACCTGTATTTCGGAATGGTCTTTTTTCAACTCTGGGATGAGGATCGCCGAGAAGCCGAGAGTCGATCCAAAAGTGATTAGCAAAAGATTCTTTGCACATACGGCACAAACTTGTGGAATTGACTCCCGCAATTTAGAAACGGCCTGTACTTCCGCATTTCCGTTCAGCTCGGCCGGTAAAGTTTTCTCGCTGTTACTGGAAATTGATAGATAGAGATAATATAATAATTATTCTCTTTTAGTTTGCCATAAACTTCGTTTATATAACGATAAACTGTTTGCTCTTCATAAATTACGTTTTGATGTTCTTAATTCTTTTTTTTTTTCATTTTACTCGATAATCAATATCTCTAATGTAATAAATTGTATGCAACAGTGTATAGTGCGTTCGCTATAGTAACGTTATATTGAAAGTTCATTTTCTCCTAGCTACAGTATACTGACGTGTCAAATGTATATAGTGTTTATTTAGTTATGTAACAGAAATCCTTGGAGAGTTACGGCATATTGTATTTTTTTTAACAGACAGATTGAGGATATCCATCTACACACAATTATCTAGTCAAAGTAGTACACAGGTGATTCCAGTTGAGAGAACGTTACCGTCCGTATAAGATTTTTTAGTTTTAAGTCTACAGTTCAATTTGTAAATACAAAGATAAAATTAAAAATTTTCATTGTTCGGTCTGAATCGTTGCCATTTGAAATTTAAAAGCGACCTCGAGCATAGCATCTACCTGACTCGTAGCCACAACTTTCAACGTTATTATGTGTCTTTAAATTATATGAAAACTGGTCGCAGACCTTGTCAAGTCCATACCTAAGTGACTATAGTGTAGGATATTAACTTGAAAACCTCAGTAGTTACGTAAGCGTCCTCTTAAATTACGGTATAAAGATTAAAAACGTCATTTTCGAAATCCGAACAAAAACCACTAAATTGTTAATTCGAAGAAAAATGTAATTATCTTAAACCACATGCTTCAAGATAACGTATGACATTTAGTCTGTATCGATAATCCCAGTAGAAGTGGAGAGAACAGAACAGACACTCAAGATCAAATATAAAACCTGATTTTGTAGAAACTCAGCGAGATTAGTGTAAAATTACTGTAACATGAAATTCTGTTAAATTATTCCTGGCGACTCGTTTAGTGTGAAAATAATGTAATAACACACGAAGATAGAATCATATGTTAAGATGGTTGCTCGTTCATTTGTCTGAATCTTTCTAGTGAGCTGAGCGAATCCTTTCACTTCCAGTGATCATTCTTCATTTTGTATAATTGACCGTCCTCAATCGATACGATATGGTAGTACAAATGACAGGCGGATATGGTTTAGAGAGACTATAAAAAGTAGACCGGTTCAGAGACCTTAATTCATTGTATATACACACATATGACAACCGTAGTCACCTGTCGCATGCAGAGTACAGATACTGATATACAGGGTGAAGCATTTAAATCGAGATTGTCAAATAACTTAAGAATAAGGTCTTATATGAAAAGGTGTTTGAGAAATTTGTATGGGTTTAAGGGGGCAATAAAATGGCCTACCTCAATTTTATTGATGAAGGGTCTTAATTAAAGTAGGCCATTCTATTGCTCCCTTAAACCCATAAAACTTTTTTTTGAAACATTTTTTCATATAAGACCTTGCTCTTAAGTCATTTGACAGTCTCGATTTGAATGTTTCACTCTGTATATACTATGGATTCGAGATACCATGAAGCACTGAACAGAAATTGTATAAGAATACAAGTCACCGTTATTAGGGTACGTTCGCAATAAATAACCTGCAAGAAATATATCCTGCGGGATGTAATTATAGGCCTTAGCTGAAGACTATTATTTCAGTACTCTGAAGTTTGACCGTGACGATGAGACGTTCACTTCTGCTACGAATAGAGTTCACTGAGCTTTCTGATAGTAAACTTCTTATTAAAAAAAAAAAAGCAAACTTGGCGATTAGACAGAAAAACATTACGTAGAATTAATTGATAGTAGTTATATAAGTAATGGATAAAATTATAATAATTATTTTTAATCGACATTATACAATTGATGTTATAGTAGAAATTTGTATAAAAAGAAATCGCTATCTATTTCGCTCGTCTTTATCGCGAATATTTTATATCTTGTAGACAGTATGGAATCGGTACGAAAAAAAATTCGGATTATTGTTAAGCGATCCATAAATATACGTCCGGAGGCAGTCTGCCTCGTTTGTCGGGGATTATGACGATGATACCGACGATTAAGTCGAAACGCAGTATACGATGTTATAAAAATGATAATATTTTAATCTTATTGGTTTTACCGAGTAAACCATGCGTTTCTGAAGAATTTATAGTCGGTTATTAAAAGTCCTTCCACGGGATGAGACATCCACGTGAGGCTGTTGCAAATAGCCAAGTCGTGACACAGTTCGACGTTTTATCTGATCCAAAGAAAATGTCCTCCGAATGCAATGACCGCCGAGATATTCGCATGCTATTTTTTTATAATCTGCGTTATTTATAGATACTGTTATTATCTTAATTGCGTGCAAAAGGACTGTAGATAAAATATGGTCTTATCTGATTTTTATTCAAAAATTATATCGGATAAGACCTATTGTGTACTAAACTATTTTATCGATTTGTATCATACTACTTCAGATCAAAGTTGGCATCAAGTGTAATTATATCGATAGGATCTATCTTATTTCCGAGTAAGAGTTAATCAATGTTATGATTATGATTGGTTGAATTTTTAGAAGCATTTATAATATACGCTACATTAATATATATTCAGAACTACCAATTTATCGGACTTTACCTGCCTGAGAATATTCAAAGCAGTCAAATGGAATATTCTTATCTAAACTACGTTTATCAACTTGTTTGGTAATTCATTATTGATTCATTATTGACGAATTGGGATAAAGTGAAGCCTATCTATGTTGCTCGTTAAAAGTACAAAGTCAAAATTGTATGTAAGTAATGATTATTTGTACTTATAATGTAGGATTTTGAGATACAATACAATAGCTATAGTATGGAGATTGCATTTGAAACTTTGAATCTGATAAGAAATACAAATTGTATTAATGGATAATTATTAGATTATAAAAACGTTTGAGGGTAATGAATTGTAATGAGTGAAATTCTAATGTTAATTTTCTACCATCTGTTATTCGCTAATCTATATATATATATATATATAATTACCGTTCATTGATCCTCTTTTATACATATTCAACCCAATCAATACTTTCACCAAGGGTTTGTATGAGTTCAAAATTAACGTTCTTTTCGAAATTTCGAAAGTCTTGCACTAGATCAATTAGAAATTGACTGTAGAAAATATATGAAAGCACACTTATGGAATATATACAAACATAATTTTGGAGTATGCGCGTCAACAAGCACTTTATCAGTAAATAATAGTTAAATTTACTGCAAGGACGTAAACAAAATTATGATTATATTTTATCGATAATTTAATGATAATTTAAATTCTTTTCGCTCCACAAATAATTCCAATATATAAAATCGTATAACCAATTTCCATAGATATTTTGGTGATTCAGATTTATTGTGAATTGGTACACGCACGGTCCATGTTATCCTATCAGAAATTATTAAATCTAATTGTTATTCTATTATATATTACATTATATACAATTATCCGAATTGTATATCTCTATTCGGATATCAATTTTCCACGGTTCCATGTATTTATGCTAAATCATGTGAATTACGTAATAACAGGAAAAAACACGTTATAAAACAAACACAGTTCAGACGAATGAGTTCTGCGAAAACGATACTTGTAAGGATATATAATAGGAAGTCCCTCATGAAGTGATCATTGCATGATTCTTTACTTCCGGTTGAAATAGTGTGACTGTGTCACGTGAAATTCATTTCATATGACAAAAGTGCAGTTGGACCGGAATAACGTGTCAAGTAGGAAGATGCATACAGCGGGTATAGGAGAAGTGAGATAAGGCAGTGTAAAAAATGAGGTTTACGTAACTATTAAGCGTCAAATCCGAATACGAGACGTTTGTTTACACGAATAATCTTTTATGTGATTTTTGTATTTTTGACATTTAATAAATGCCAAAAACGTATCCTGGACGTCTAGACGAAAAGCGATACAAATATTTTCTAATTAAAATTGCAATTGACGAGGTGACCCGGAGGGTAAACAAATTTTTAATAAATGCTCCAATAAAATTGAAATAAAAATTTTGAAAAATTTCATGGGCAATCTTTATAACTAAATTTTTTTCTGTAATAACGAAAATCGCCTCGTTTATTTATAAACCTGAAAACAGGTTTGACCGTCCATTCGGAATTTTCCTACGATTGAGAAAAATAGCAAGCAATATCGCAGGAGGAAATTGAAAAATTTAATTAACAACGATCAGCGAAAATCAAATTTGTAAACGCTCACGAGCGATAATAAAAATAATAATTTTCTCAAACACGGAAATTTCTGGACCACGAGTGAAAGTGAAACTTTATGCAGTATAGGTAGTTATAGTGACTTTATAAAAGAGTCATACCTGTTGACGTCATCTGGAATTTGTTCGGAAGCCATGAGAACTTGCCCAAAATGGAATAAAAATAAAAAAAAAACAATTTTCACACAAATTTTCGTTACTTTCTAAAATCACACATTTCTCATGATTTTAATGCCGACACCGTGATTATAAATTTTGCAAAAAGTGACACGTGCATCGTTAGGATTCGTCTATCGGACAAAGTTCGAAACTGAAAAAAAAGAGCACGTGTAATTTTGATAAAAGTCCTGAAGTTTTATTCGTGTCGACTTTTCCCAAGCAGTACGAATCGACTGAGAAACTTGTTCAAGTTACAAAGCCAGAATGTCTCGTTACTTTCAGTTTCTCCCTCCTCGTACGCGCTATTCCCCCTCTCGTTGTTACATCTAAAAAGAAGATACAAGAATACAGACGATTTTTAATCAGGTGTCATATCGGTCGTCCGTTTCTTTAATATTGGCGACGCTCGGAGAGCTAATCGTCACGATACGTATTCAGCCTCGGAATACTTAATTTTAGGACACTCAATAGAATTGATAAAAAAATAATTTTATAATTACATTTAACAAGTTCCACATCGTCCTTTAGCGTATAGGTATCGTTGGTGAATACGTCACATTGATTAGTAACAAATTTTATTTTTATTCAAAATTTTTTTCTAGCATCCAATTAGACCATAGCGATAATTCGTATAACGTTCTATTTGAGCAGCATCGTACTTGTTCATTTTGTATTTCGAAACAAAATTTATAATGACGATTTCCTTGAAAAGTCAACTGGACGTTAATGGTCACAACGAGGTATGAAACCTGATAAAAAATTTTTGCAATATTTTTGGTCAATAAAATTTTTTTTTTCATTTTTCTAAATTCTAATTACGCTTTTAACGCTCCGATATGTCTGCTGTGTTATAAATAATCGTGTGTCATTCATCTCTACTTTATCTTCTCTTTGCGTAACGCTTGCAACTTATATTTTAATCTGTTAAAAATGAAAACAGCTCGCTCTAGTGTATATACTTTTTCTTTCTACGTATGTCTTATCGACGTATACAAAATTGAGTTAGAAGTTTATTCAGTTGCGAAGCCGACAAAAGATTTGTAGGAGGAAAAAATTCAATGTGTCGTAAAATCATAGAGGGATCGATATAAGTAGAAAAATAATTTCTCGTACAATTCCAGACTCTATCAGATTGTCGATGGATTAACCTCGCAATTCATCTATATTTGTAAAAATACATTTTTTTCGATATTAAGATCGTGCTTATCGATAAAATTTTTACGTAACAATTTCTTAGCACCCGAGCGTCAATAGGTGAACCAGCGAAAGAGCAGCTTCCGATCATTGGTGGGAGAAGCCAAACAATGTATAGCTAAACGCCAATTTATCGGTAATTAGGTATAAATAATTGTATCACTAATATTGAAGCCTTGGGAAAAGTCAACAGTCGATAAAGTAGAAATCTACGTAGTAACCGAGTATTACAAATACGTAAAGTTCAGCGTAGGACTTAGCCAATATTTTTGGTCTCAAATCCAAAATACTTGCTTCTCGTTATAAGATAAAATTTTGTAAGTAAATATATATATATATTTTTTTTTTCAAAAATTCACAAGATACGATTTCGAAGAATCAGTATATTAAGATGTATTTTTAATAACAGAGGAGCATAACTGTCGTAAATAATTCTTTCGTCACGAAATTTTCCACTCCCTTCCCCGTTTCAACTTGAAAAAATTAAAAACACGTTACTTTATTGCACGCAGATAAAGTTAAAAATTTTGTTCAATAAAGTCAATTAAAAGTTAATTAATTTGCATACGCTGCAAAATTACAGCATATATTAGATCATAATGTGCGGAGTAATTAATTTATCAGCCCATAACAAAAGTATAAATAGTATCAGATGGTCTTAATCGATTGGTCGGTCAGAAACTTTAAGGTCCAGTTTCACAAGCAGGGTTCATTGTTTAAACGGGGTTTATCTTAAAAATTGCAGGTATCTGATTGGCTAATCGGTCAATTGAACTGAGTTCAAACAATAAACTGTTTATGGACTCGACCCTAAGAATCAATTATTGAATGTTTAAAAGAAAAATCTTAATGACTCTGATATTCCTATAGATATGTAAATTTTAATTAACTGAACAGCATTTTTTATAAATTTCATAATACAGCCATTGGGAACAGTTTTGATAACGCCCGACGTATCATCAACGTATCATTAATATACACTGTACTTTTCCTTTATGGGCGAGAGAGTGCATTAAATCCATTGAAATTGATACTATAAATAAATTAAGCCAATGCATGTAAATCCTCGTTAATTGAATTCCCAGACAAATGGACGCGCGAATGTCGTTCCCTGGATTTTAATGGGACACAATATCCAACCCTGGAATATCCCTAAAACATTGTAAAATCCTATAAAAAAAAAGTCCATTTAGTAAAAGACAAAAAATCGCGTATGACTTTTACATGCAGATTTAAAAAATTATTACTCGTTCATTCGCAAAACGTTACATCCACCCACGACCCACGGATGTCTTTAACACGGCATTAATTAGTACGTCACATGCAGGCAGCATCGTCAGCGCAGATGTCACATGTAATGACTTTATCGGTATGTGGCACACAAAAGCACACCAGGTGGCAGCAAGTGCATATTAAACTTTTCTAGTCATTTTTTTTCTCTTTCAAAAAAAAGGTATAACACGAGTTCAAAGACTCGACGGCATGATCGATAATTTATACGGATAAGCTTCTTAACCCTAACGATGCAGACTAACGTCTGCGAAACGTCGGCCATACGTTGAAACTAGACGCAGCATCCAACCGGAAGCCAGGGATTTAAATAATAAAATTCTGACCGCGAGAAGCCTCGACAAAAAAATGTGTACGAAGAAAATAAATAAATACAAATTTCCCTTTTTTTTTTTAAGAATAATCTTCAAGAATATCTAGATAATAATTAGGATTAAGACATACACGCTATGACGTCAAATGCAAATGCAGATATTATCATGGATGATAAGTGACAAGTGTTTTCATTGTGATCGTCGCTAAGAGGATCTTCCAGACTATCGAGGACTGTGCAGAAAACAAAAGAGACAAAGGTTAGAAACTTATAAATAAAGAATTGCGATCATTGTCATCGTCGAGTAGCAATAGGCATCGAGTATTAAACATGATAATTTATTAAGAACGATGGATTCTAGCATAAAACATACTTATCCTAATTAAATTAAATAAATATAAAAATCACGCAGCTCTTTCGACACATATGTTATTTGTAGCCAGTCAATGGCCTTGTTTAGAAGCGTTTGTTTATTTATTTTTCTTTATTTTTAATATTCCCTGTCACTAGGTGCATATATACTCCTGCCCTTTGACCTCTGATACTCTGAGTACGATCCATTAGCGTGTATAACTTTGGTTCAGAAAAATATAACCCTATCTCCGTGGCCCGACTTGAAATTGTCGCTGGCGCAACTCACTTTCTTCGCTTCTAACAAGAATGTCAGAAAATAAAATTCGTTAGTAGAAAATTTTTAAAGTTATTCAGTCTAAAGTTGAACCTTTCTTTCCTTCTACTTTTCACTTTTCTTACCACCCGGCATCTCTGAATATTTAAATTCTTTGTCCTTCTTTACATCCCAATATTACTCCTTAAGGCTAGTGCACATCCATGTGCCCCGATAAGACGAGGGATCGTGGAGCCAACGAAAAAAATTTTCTCCTAAAATAGATAACCAACGAATAACAAAATGCCCAATTTTCTTGATAATTACATAGATGCAACGTTTTTGTACGATAACCTCTTGTCTGTTATAAACTATATAATATACGTACAATATGTATTTATGCGCTCGACATTATATGCGCTTTTTTTTCTTTTACCTTCCCATTTTCTTTTTTTGAAATTTTCGCTCATCCCGCTCAACGACTTACACATATACGTAAAAGCTAAGGATTCTACGCTTTCTATGCCCTTTTACTCTATCAAAATAGGATTCGCGCTTAACCGCTTTCAATGATATTTCTTTTATGAAAATATACATATACAATATACTCCTATATAGATAATTACAAGTAAGTAGCGCTTTTACAAGGCAAAGAGCGTGCTACGGTAGAGTTAATTAGATTAAGGGAAAAGGAGAGAGGGGGGATAGGAGAGGGAAAGGGGAGACAGGGGGTCGCCAGCAACATAATTATGAGAGACCATCTTCTTATCGATATCGTGAATGAAATGATAGTTACTCCGACAATCGTTTCTCCCCTGGATAATTATTTTTTTATCTGAGGATGGCTCATACCTTTAAGTCGTATCACGTGAATCAACTTTCTTGAGCCACCATTCAAATTTTATAATACCACTACGTGATACGAGTGGATAATTCGAGATCATCTCCCTTGATTTTGAATGAGGCGCATCGTTTAAAAAGATTTGAATGATGAATTCTAACGCTACATTTATACTTGGAAAGAAAGTAATTATCGACTGTCTTCTATCTTTATTGCCAGTGCGTTAGCGAGTGACAATGCTCTCAGGGAATACTGTCCTTTTTTTAATTTTCCTAAAAGATAGAAAAACTGTCGATAATCGTTGCTCAGTATAAACGCAGCATAAGGATGATCGATCGCCCGGAGGAACAATAAAGATCTACGATCGTTTAACAAGGCACTGTTGGACTTACAACGGTTTTCCATTACTCTAGTTTTATATGGACGTGAATTGAAAAATAAAAGCTAGAGAACGACGTACAGTGAAAACTTTGATCACCCAGAACAGAGTCCGATATTCTTTTCTAATTTATACGTTAATACGCAATTCAAGATATAGAGCAGGACAGGCAATTTCTCTCTTAAGATTTCAAACTGCTATTAAAAGTCTCTTGCGCTTCGTTGGTTCTGTGTTCAAAGATCCTATAATGATTAGCTCTATATTTGCTTTAAAGAACAGCACCGGTTTTGGCTAATGCTTTTATGCATCTTAACTTCGCATGATATCGAGACAAATAATTTAATCAACCCCACTGTTCTATTCTGACGAAATTCAAACGCGTCTGTGTAACATCGAATATGAAGCCTCTCGAGTTAATACATGACACAGCCAATTGCAAAAAAAAAATAGTATAAAGAATATAATCTAGCGTATACGATGAATGAATATTACAGAACGATTGGATATCTTCTAGGAGGTAGCGAATTCGTTAGTGCTGTCTCAGAAATGTTTCTATCAAACGGATACCACGGAAGGCACCTGTTGCTCCATCACTTTGTACAATTAAATGATCCGGTCGATGCATTATCCCTTAAGTCTTATACTTATACGTATAATGACAAAATAGTCTAATCTCCGCGGTACAGAGTCAATGATTTTCGATGTTTGTTTCACACTGGAATCGAGTAGGTGTGTCGATTGTTTTGTGATTGATCTAACAATTTTTACACAAGTTAACAGTCTACTTCACGTCGTACAAACGGAACGCCTGTTACGTGACATTTCTTTGCGAGTGACAATGATGTCGATATTACCTGGTGTACCATTATGGTGTTCACCATACAACTACTCTAACTTAGAGGTGGTACTTGAAACCTCGCAAATGTATTCTGCTTTCTTGAAAATCATGACTGTGTTCTAAAAAGAGTCATCGCGTCTACGTCTAATTAATTAAATGTATTGATTAACCGTGGCATCGTCGTATTTCCGTATGGGCACGTAGGTCGGAATAAAATTGTTCAAAGAAGCCACAGCAGCTCTTTGACAAACAGCTAGCAAAGTACACCTAACATTCGGATAAAACAAGTATAAAAACGTACGAGTCGATGTCGCTTTATGTCCTTATCTTAAACGGCATCGAATCGAGCAGACTTCGATTTTAATAAATAAAATCCGCTATGTACAGGCTCGCCGCAAAGTTTAGTCAAGTTTGTCGGAGACCAATGGAAATCTGACTATTCTTAGCTGTCGGCCAAAATCGCAAACGACACTGTCCCGCAGGGCGAGCATTTGCTTCACGAAGATGCAACTGTCTTTGTGTCCCAACGTTACTTCTCGCACGGGATCACCCGTCCTGACATCCCACACCACCAGAGATCCCTGCAAATGGAGGAGAAGAACAAGCTCGGAGTAGATAATTTATAAAAACTTATTGATCTTTATAAAATGCTTCATTACCTGATTGCTAGTGATGAGTAGATGATGCGTCAGCATAACCAACTGTGGACTGTAGGCTGCTCTGTGTGCTGGAAGGGCGTGTAATAAATGACCTTGAAATCGTTCCCAGACACATAACCTCTCGTCGGCACCGATACTGATTACGTAGGAGGCCGAACAGGTTATGGCTGCCACCGCGCCGTCGTGCGCCTGGATACTATACATGCACATTCCTGTAACACAGCATTACCACCACAAGGAGAACGTAAATAAGTTATAATTGAACCATCAAGGACTGTATGGGAGTCTAGGCGATTGAATTTACCAGTAAGAAGGTCCCAGACGCATAGCAGTCCATCTTGAGATCCACTTCCAGAGGTCATGGGGCTGACCCTGTCAATGAACAGACAGGATATCGGGCCGCAATGCCCATGTAACGTGTACAAGGGAAGTTGATCCTCTAACCTGAACAGATAAATTCAATTAACCTGAAATGATTTAATTTTATACTTTTTTTTTAGAGAGTTTTATTACCTGTACACTTTAAGTGTGTGATCCTGACTTCCTGTCAGAACACGACCACCTTCGCTATCCAGGACAGTTATAGGTTGCTGATGAGCCCTGTGTGATGCTATTTTCATACAACGCAAGTCTTCCTCGGGTTGCATTATGTTGTTTACATCCATTGGTGATCCTGCACTGCCTGTCCTGACATGTGCTATAATAGGCAATTGAGTTCATGCATTGAGCTTACGTTAAATCTCTTTAAATATAAAAGAAATCAGCAATTACTACTGTCATTGTGATTGACTTACTTCGTCTGTATGACGTGAAGCCCCAATCAATCTGTTGACCTTCGCTGTAACTTTCCAGTTGTAGAAAGTCTACGGATCCGTTCAATTTAGCAGCTATTACTCTGTTGCCCACAAATTTCACTGCTGAGATTCCCAGTCCAGAACCGTCCTCGAATAAACACTAGAAAAAAAAAAAAGAATTCCCATTCTTACTCCATGTACGCTGAGGTTTGCTTCTTTATAAGGATAAAAATAGCAAACCTTAAATCGACCTGTAGTACCCTCCCAAAATTCTAAACTTCCATTGGCACAGCCCACAACAATTAGATTTTCCTGATAATCGATGCACCATATAGGCGATATATTTGGTGCTATTTGCATCGTTCTGTCTGTACTTAAAGACGTCATGCTGTCCATTAAATCGTTTTTATTTAATCTACCAGGACAGGAAACAAGCTGCTCAGCGCTTTCACACTTATCCAATTCCTCGGTTCTATGTTCATTAAACAGCTGTTTGAATCGTTCACCAAATTCAAAACCTTGCTCGTAATTTGCCTGAGTGGGCGAATACTTCATCGTCGAGAACTTTGTATTGATGACTGGTTTTAAATCAGGGAATTCAAAATTCTGATCCAAACTCCGTCGAACCAACTTTTGCTTGTCCGATGGGAATTCATTTATTTGATAATCGTAATCCAAAGAATTTTCCATAGAGTGCCTCTTATTCATACCGCTAGTGTCGCCCCTGCAGTGTGGATATGAAGTGGGTGACACTTTCCTTGCATGAACATTAGATGAGGCTGAATAAAATCCAAGTGACGTGGCGGCTTCCATTTCTCCTCTGGAAGGTGGAGAGCCACTTTCATAATCAGACATAAGTTCATCAGGATCAGGAACTGGACGCATAAGATCCTTTCTTGGACTGCTGAAGAAGTGTTTTCTGTCAATGTGAGCCAATTGTTCTCCAGATGTTGAATCCCAAACTCGGATGTGACCAGCCAGGCAGGTACTAGCTATTGTATTCCCATCAGTAGCGATGCACTCGACCTCTTGAGTATGACCCTCCAAAACCAATGGCACCGCCTCCATCACTAACTGCGTCACCGAATCCTGAGACTTCTCCTGCTGATACCAACTGGCACGCCATTCCGCGTAATTTCTTGAACAAATGCAACGGTACAGGACGACCATAGTGTACGCGACTACTATCACGCTGACTAGACACAGTAAAGCAGCAAAGAATATCTCCATGGGACTGGATGGTACAAAAGGCGCATCCGTGTTGAAACCTCGACCTTCAGATCTTGTTGGCATCTCCATGTCTAAAATACGAGTGGAATATAGCAGTGTTGCCGATAGGCAATGCTTAATTGGTTATGGAAAACTAATGATTCAAGAAATTAAGAATGGGTTAGATTTTTCTAGAATGAATTAGAGTTTATAAAGTTACATTACTGTATACCTAGCAACTTCCGTTTACGTTATCGCTCGCTCACCTGAAAAATCCAATGGGTCAAGGGCGGCAGTCGCAAAACTCTGCCATTGAAATTCCTGCACGTCATTTGGATTGCTGATTTGCCTGACCAGCTGAGGACTGACTGCGTGCGATAATTTTATCGTTGGAAGTATCGTTATTTGTTCATCGGCCAATGAAATATTGTACATTGACAATATGGATGACCAATGATACAGGGATAAGCGGTTCCATGGCGGGAAGTCAACGGGTCTCAATTTATTTAATTCCTCTGTAATATTATTCGAGAATGGATCCTTAAACAAAAAGAGAACGTAGTTAATACATGTCAAAGTTCAAGCTTCTTCTTGGAACGTTAAGGAAGTATCAATATAAATAAACTAAGGCGAACTATCAAATAGTAATAATAAGGAACTATAATATTTAAATTATTCGCATGATTACCTGCTCTTTCAAATGATTTGGTAAAACAGTTGAGGTCGACGTAAGGACAGGCTTCAATGTATTTAACTCAATATAATTGTTTACTGTCTGCGGCCTGTCTATGGTGTATCCATCGATGTCTGAATCTGTTTTGAGCGTATCACTAAGGTGAATGACGTGTTCGATAATTCCGGAATTATAAATGATCACGCTGATCCAGACGACCATCCAGACCATGAAGGCTCTTTGGAAGATTCTCGTTCTCGCCCAAAAGTGCACAAGCCTCAATCGTTTTGGAATCTTCGTCAAGGTGGGAGTATTTTGCGTGTTAGGAGCAATTACGTTGGTAGGACCAGTCGATATTCCGTTTAATCTTGGATGGGACTTGGATCGAAAAATATTAGGCTTTTTATTTGAAATCGTCGTGGTGAATTGTTGCTTGCGTGATCCGGGAATATTCGACGCGTGAAGTTTGGAGTTTTCACTTGACAATTCCATCCTTCTGATGTCAATCGCTAGGATGGTCGAAAAGAAGACCATTTGAAGAAAAAAGTCATTCAGGAGTCCAACGATAGCAAAGATGCAAAACTCCTGGATTGCAGGTACAAAGGTAAAAAGGCCAATCGTCAATATCGTGACTTCGGTTAATAAATTCTTTGTGATCGACCATCCTTCTTTGGATAATCCTTGCGCTACGCGAATTTTAACATCCAAGTGGGCTGGAGTGCTCACGACGCTCTTGGTGAGCACTAAGACATTCTCAAGCCCGACGATGACCACCAGGTACGGAAAAACGTCCTTTCCGCTCAGACTGAGCGTCAGTCCGAAAAAAAAGCAGAGACCTACGCTCATGGAAAGTGACGCAACTACTGTAACGCTTGCACTGAATGCCATTCCAATTTTTGATTTCACAAGCTCTATTTTGCGAACCGAAAAGTATACATAAAAAAAGAGAGCGAAGAACGTCATGGTCAAAGGAAACAAGTCGCTATAATTAAATTCCCCAGGATAAAAGACATGCAGAGTTTCGTCGGTGGGTATCACGTAGGAAGAATTTTTTTCTTCCAATTGATGGAGCGGATAATACGTCGTCAGTCGATTTCTTAGTCCTTTGACAAATCTGTAAGAGAATTTATTATATAACTCAAAGCTTGAAGGCGAGGACTAGGGTTTGTTTGCTATCCAAGTTGCTCTCTGATGGAGTTGAAAAAGTATAGAAGAAACCACTTCAGCAAGTCCCCGTTATCTTTTAGTCTTTGAGGAGCGGATAATGCATTTTTAAGAATTTTTATTTATTTGACTTACCGAGGGTCGTACTCTTTTAAAAAAATTGTCACGGCGTATTGCAAAATTCGTTGCCTCACGCGGACTGGATATCTCTTCACCCCCGTTTCTTTCAGATTCATGCCGAACATCATTTCTGCCAAACTTATCTTGCCTCGTTGAAGATTCTATGCAAAAGTGAAAGAATTTAATAGACGCCCTATTATCAATACAATTATTTTTCAAAGATTCAACAGTCTAGTCGGCATTATTGATCGTTGATATTAAAAAAAAAGTCTAGAGTTGCATATACCTGATAAGAGAAGACAGTGCCAATAAGATTGGTATCCTGATTAAACATCTCAATACTTTGCTGCCAGAGATTAGCCGGTGACAATACCAAACAATTATATTCTGGTAAGACATCTGACTTTTTTGCATTTCTTCTCTTGACAGCCTCTATATGCAGGCAAACTTGTCCAAGAGTTTTTAGCCTAGTAAACGACATGAGATAGTGATGGTACTTTGGTGTCTTTTATACTTCCATTTTTTTAGCTCTCTCACAAGTCCAAAAAACACTTACGTCTCAGGATCCTGATAGTTCCGTATTATTTCAAGGAGATTGAAAATTTCAAAAAGTGGTCCTCTAAAGGCGTCGGACAGTGCAAGATCCTCTGACCAGGGTACGACCCCAACTCGCAGGACTACTTGTTGAACGTAAAGTGCAGAACTCTCTGAGGCATTCACTGGGACTATGGTATGATTGATCACGGTCCGAGGTACGTTTCCCGGCATGGGAAGATTTACCAATGGATAGCTGTAAACATCATTTCCATAGTTTTCTCTTGAGACGTGACACACTTTGAAGAACCGGCTAGGTTATATTAATGATACAGGAAATAAACACTGTTTACGTGATAAGTGTATTTAAGAATTTTATAATGATAGTATAACTATGATAATTTATTGATCATTACTGACCAACATAGTAGAACTACGGAGATCGCCAATGATATAACGGCAACAGGGTGAGAGGAACAAAATAGGCCATGGGCATAGTAGAGCCCTGCCACCCTATCTGGCAGGCTGCGAGACATCGCACTCTATGATCCTCTTGGTAACATTTCTTGCAGTAGTAAATGTTTTCCAACCCTCCGTGAGGATCTGTTTGATTTCACAAAGAAAGTTTCAATTAAATAATTATTTAATTTGCTTAAGACAATATTATGATCTATTACGAGGAGTCAATAGGTGAAAGGATTTTAATGTTACTTCGTGATCGAAACTTTAAAAGCCGTACAAATTTCCCTGTGAAGACAAACTCGGATACTAATATTGAAATAAGTTTAATCTTTGTTACGTAGTCAGAACCGATTTATTATGTAAGTAATTTGATATAAAATAGTCCCTCGAGTATCACTTCTCATCAATTTAAACTTCATTTTATCAAAACAGATCTGATGCTATGATATAAAAAAAATTCCTATGCTTAGAGATTAATCATAAATCTGATCATCGTATATGGTATCAATTATTAATTGCTGATGTTTTGAAGAATCCTAGAATGCTTTAAATTGATTAACATAGAAAACTAATATTTGAATCATGTCAGTGAAGTCAAGATAAGTCATTTAATATAATTGATGTGATTATAAATCTGTAAATGTCTATGATAAAAACATACATGGAAAGAGCAGTACCAGAAGCAATAAGTAATGCTCAAGGAAAAAACATAAAAAATAGATCACAAGTTCTGCATGTTTTGCTTTTGTTATCAATGATGTTACGCAATCTATATAATCACATTATTATGCCCATATTTCTACTAAGCTATAAGTATACCTATTATATATTAATGGGTTGAAATAATGCAGTGACGAGTTCATCCATGTTTGCACGAATGAGCATTCAAATTAATCATATAAGCTAACTGTATGAACTAGTATATATTGACATATGAAGTCTGAAACATTAAGTAAATCATAAAAGTCATAAGTTGATCATTATATTTTAGGATGACAGTCTTATTCAAAGATTGAAGCAAGTGCATAAATGCCAAAAAGGAAAAATTCATGTGAAATACAGTGGTCTTGATGAAGTAAATTATTCAATTATTCGAACAATACGTCAGTCAGAGAATACAGAGAGTGACTTACCGTGAAGTCAAATTAAGGATGTCGATCAAAAATTTTCGATGTCGCAATATATTTTGCAAAATTCCACCTAAGATTAGAGATGGGAGCAGTTACAAAAATAACTCACGACACGCAAAAACGAGCACTAGCCTACGCGCGAATTTGAGGTTATGTTGGCATTCACGAATGGCACGTATAGAATTAAGAGACTTGAAACGTCTTTACCGTAAACTGCGACGATTTCACACGTGTATCAAATGTCACGACAAACTACATAAAAGATTGTTAAAAACTGCCCACAGGTTGGTCGCAAATCACGTCACAGAAACTCAGCGCGAATTGCGTGTTACGAACACCGAGTGCACTGCCCGGTTCGATTTAACCGCAAAGGAGAAGGTAAAGGAGCACTAATTTATTTTTAAACACACTGACGAGCCTCCACGATCGACCAATCGCAGGTGTAGAGTCTGCACTTGTGACAGACGCACACGTGGTGAAAAGTAAAAATTACCTTACCGCGTGACACTCGCCGACAACATGCCGGTGAAGCTTCGTCGGGAAACGACGACGTGCGGCAATCCGAACACTGTTTTATCAAACTCCGTTCACTAGGAGGCGAAAAAAGGTTCCTTTCTATGTAAGGTAGTTCGACGCACATGAGCCACTCGCCACTATCACTGTCGTTACTTTTCTCACTTTAACTTTTTTACACATGACGATGATCACCGATTACACGTAGAAGAAGATTTGATTCTGTAATTGGCTGAGAGCATTTTTTTCTCCCTAGCCTTTGCCACTGAGATAAGCTTCTTATCGACGGAACACTCCCGAAAGCACAGCAGTCACGAAGAAAACAGCAACATCCTCGACACATTCGTCTTTCCGTGAAAGGTCGGTTGGCGGGGGTAGCCCGTATTACGAAAAATGTAGAACTTGCGTAGGAAAGCAGCGCTTCTCTTGCTACGAAGATAAGAGGAATTGTAGACTATATAGATTACGACCGTGGCCTTGTTACACGACGTCTTATGTCACCCAAGTAAGACTGGCGATGTCTACTGGAGTGCCGACTCTAATTCAACGTAATGTAAGTGTTCCACTCGAAGCCAACAGCACCGACAACTTGACTGTTTGACTGTTTGCTTGGCGAAGTCGCGCACGCTGCTACTTCATTGGTACATGTGATCTTTGGTTTCACGCTACGTAATAGTCATCTGAAAGCAACCTCAGCTCCAGGGCCGGCGGTAAATATGGAACGCAAAGAAAAGTGGCTGTACCAGCATGCGGTAACTCAGCCCTGAGACGAGGCGGATCATGACAAACTAGAAGGTGGGACAGAGACAGTACGAAAAGTGAACGAGCAGGAGAAGGTAGAGAAGAGGAGCAATGCCCTAAGCCTTTAGATTCACTTAGAGCGTCGTCGTCGTAGTCGCTATATCGAGATGGAGACTGATTACTCTGCTGGAGGAGCTCAACGAGGAGGAATATTCTTGTGAAAGCGAAGTCTAAGGGTGTCTCAGATTTACTTCTGCTTGGACTGCTAGCATCAACTTTCAACTATTTTCCACCCTATCTCTTTTCTTCTCATTGAGTTTTCTTAGCGAGGACTCAACCTTGTCCTCTTCCTCGACGATGTCGTCGAGCATCGACCTCACACTTTTTCCCGCATTATATATACCTAATACAAAGGTATGCTATTGGTGAATTGGTCAGATAATTTAAATATACGCACGAGTCACGGGTGTTGGGGCGGCAGAATATTTGGCGCATGCAGTACTACTAAACTTGACTTGCTTCCCGACGGGCCGGCGCCTCGTTTCTTTATGATAACAAGGTAACTGTCTATAACACGGTACCGTCTGTGAGCATTTGTTCCTCGCTGGAATAGTCTCATTAAATATTTCCGAAAGACCGAACGGAAGTAGTGGAATATTATTGTTTACAAAGTAACATTACAAAGTTTGTTAATGCATATCAGACCTTACAAAAACAAGTTTTCATGCGGTCTCGAGCGTCAGAACGTTCTGGGCGAAACCTTTCCATAGCCTATTATCTCGCCGATTGACGTATCTAATTGCATCAATTGCGTAACAAATGGAAATTAGGCGGTCAGTCAAATGGTCAATGTCAACCAGGGATCAAGTGCCCGTATGCGTATTACCTGCATTCAAAAGAAAAAAAAAAACGATGGCCGTCTTGTTATTTATCCTTTTCTCAAAACTATTCAGTTTCACATTTCTCAGGAACTTGCCAGAAGTACTTATAAAACGTGCGAAAGTGTCGTGCGTCATAGCCCCTATTTTTTACTGCCGTAAATATGTACGTCCAGTCAACGAATAATGATTATCAATAACGAATTAAACACAAGGCGTAGAATAATATATGTATGTATACATATAGCTAACAGTGCACATATAGTACATAATAATATTAATTTATGACTCTTCCTTTCTTTGCATGTAACTCATGCGCATGTACATACATATAAAGCAAGAGTCTTATCCTCATTCAGTTAAAGACTTTATTTAAAGTTAATTCTTATGTAAACCTTGACCAGCTTTCAGTACGTTGGCAGTGATAGTTAAACTGCTTATTTTATAAAAACTTGTAAATGCGTTTCAAAAGCTATGACGTGTATGAGATACGTAAACAGAAGAAGAGGGAGACGGCGATAAAACGGAGTGAGACGGAACGAAAGGAAAGATTAATAGAAACAGAGAAAAAAGATGCAGAAAGAAACTTAAAGAAAATATCAAAGCAGATTCAGTCCGACGTCTCTTTCGTGATTACGATTACTCATTCCATTCGTGGATTTCGAAGGCGAGGCATTCACTGTTAAAGTGGTTGCTGAACCAACCGCAAGATAGCGCCGTTTCTTGTTAGTAAATTTATAGAAGGGCACAATAACCTACAGCTTTGTTCTACGAATATCGTTAATTTCTTCAAGCCTATCTATAAGCTTGTTTATGAGTTTAATGTGTTTTTTTTTGTAGATTGAAAACTATGACGTCTCTAGCAAGACATTCGTATCGCTGCATAAAACGTTAAAAAGTATGCATATGCATGACTTTACACTAAATATATTTTATTTTTCCATCTTACCAGATAGTTACGTTACTTTATGGAAAACACGTCATTTGGTTATACTTGCGTTGCATTCTAACCGTCAAAAAATCACACCGAACTTCTGGACCGACATAGCTCTGCGTTTTGTAATAGTGCGTCGCGGTTCGCGAATCGTGAAACAATGTTTGGTAAATGAATCTTACAAATCAGAGCATAGGAAAATCCAAACTTGATTACGATTTATCAACGAGTAATCCTACGAATTGATTGTGAGACTGATGCCTATGAGCTATGACATGTATTGTCCGATGACTTTGAGAAAGATCGATACCCCAAATGGCGTAACTATCGAAGACGCATTGAGCTAAAAAATCCAGCCGTGTATGCTGATCGCCATTATTTTCAGTACATCGTTTATGACAGGTCATTAACCGTATAGTGACACCATCTGTATATTTACTACGCAAAGATATAAATAGTACGGACAAGAAATAGTCTAACGATACACAAAATGCTGTAACGAAGACTGGAAATCCTAGTTTAAATTACACGCATGAAACTGACTTAAAAATACAGTGCGTCAAAAGAGACATTATGCAATCGTTTCCTCGAATCGTTCACTCATCGAGGTATCCAAATTTTTATCTCCCACTAAATATGATTTATTGAAGTCTACAGGCTGCTATACGTAATAATATTCATTCACGCAGGATCACGCTTGAATGCATTGCTGATTATCGTTATGCCTCCCTCTCCTAATACTTGAAACACGTTTGCCATATTTTTCCAAGTCTCTCAATAACTACCCATGCATTTTCACTTACCTGCATTCCTGAAATTCTTAACGAAAATGTCAGCGACATATCCCGTTATACGAAGCGTACTCTGGATCCGACAAAGATTGGATTGGAAAAAGTTCTCGGAGGTCAAAACGTCAAAGACTCCTGGTGAACGGTGCTTCTAATAAAGCCAAACGATAAATATTAACGACTCTCATATACGTATGTCCCACCAGTTGTCGCTAGTGTCGTCTGCTGCATACTAATTTTACACGAGAAAGACACGTCGTACCTATGAGGATATTTGTGCGGTGATTGTCTCTTGGTTAAATAGCTGAGATTTAGTGCCGAGTAGTTGCTCTGGGAAGCTGGATGTCTACGTCGCGGAAGAGTGCGTTTGTCACATAGCCGAGATATATAGATATTGTCGGTAGGGTGTAGCAAAATTCGTTGAGAAAGCTACAGACGGAAAATACGAAGATGTGTAAACATGTTTACAGTCGTCGGCCGCAACCAAGAAGACACAGTAGTTCGAAACTGTTTGGAAGTTCCTCTTCCTGCTCGCCAGCGAATCTAATTAAAATACCGCGGTAAGTTTGAGAAAATGTTTGGGGTTACGCCGACGGCGGCGCCACTGTCGCGCTCCTTCGGTAGGTACGTTAGATGCGTCCATAAATCCAGTCTTGACACGCTCTGCTGTCACTGGTTATCATTTCGGTCTGTGCGGAGGGAGTGTAAGGGGCAGAGGACGCTTCGTTTCGTTTTTTTGGATTCTCTTTGATAACTTCAAGACTGTTCGAGTTCTTTAATCATTTCCAATCTAAGGTGTCGAGGACGAGGGCGTTTTCGAACGAGGGGAAAGTTGAAATTACTTTTACGCCAGTTACAAATGTCTGGCGATAACACCTAATTCCATGGTGCTCTTGCGTCATCTTGAGACATGATTGCAGAAATGTCATTTTCGTTACGTATACTGAAACGATTCACGTTATCCCTGTGCTGTGTCTGTGTAGGAGTGTATAACTATAAATTCGAATTTCCGGAGTTTGCAGCAGAAACTTTTGATACGATCCCGATCCCCTGCTAGTCAGCCGGCAGGCAGTCTCCCTAGCCAGCCAGAGATCGAGTGGATTTTCTCACTTGGCTATCGGCTACACGCCGTGAATACACTATAGAAAAGAGCGCCCGGCTTACACTGTGCTTGGGATGGCAATTTATCTTGCTGGCTTTCCGGGGGCGCGTTTAAGTTCCTTAGATAAATGGCGGCTCCCAGTTTCGCTAGGTTCCAGAAGAGGCCTTCGGCTTGACCAAACAAAAAAAAAAGATTCCAAGTCGCTTAAACGGGGAACGATCGTGAATTTCCTCGCTGAGTTTTCTCCCTGAACCTTCGTCACCTTCTTTCTTTATCGTCAACCAATACGTTTTACCGACACTCCAAGATACGTCAACCGCCTATCTGATATACTGTGTATCCTTATCGATTTAGACTCGAGGTAAGAATTGAACCTGATAAAAGTAATGAATATGAAATCGATGGAATTTGTTAATGAAATTTTTTTTATTAAATTCTCTTTTTTCCCTTCACTTCGCGTCGTTCAATGGGTATACCGATCGTATCTGTCTGGAAGAGAATTTTTATCATGGGAAAAGTGAATTTAACTCGCTTAAACGAATGATCCAATTTACTTGGACTCGTTCAGCTCTGAAACTCGATTCGATGCGCTGCGCTGCAGTGTAAATTGAAAATTTCGTTCCTTCCTCCTTCCTTCCTCTTCGCGCGACTAAATAATCTCGCGCAATGTGTCTTAGCTCTTCAGAGACACGAGAAGCAAGAAAAAGGAGAAAATGAAGGACAGGAGAAATGTAAGCAACACCTTTACGAACCCGACTCTGAATCTCTGCTTTATTGTTTTTCTTGGAAAATGAAATATCTACCTTCCGTCTCACTTTTGTATTTCGCAACTTTATTATATCGGCAAACGGCTAAGCCATTTCCTGAACTCTCGACTATCTCGACTGTCCAAATCCTTCGGCAGCTTTCGCTAGACGGACGATTGGGTTCGAGTTTAAAATTAAAATCCATCATCGATGATCGACCGATCGATGGATTTTTTTTTCTTTTTCCTCTCTTCATCCTTTCCATCCCGCTTCTCTTCTACTTGACTTCTATTACTGTGGCCGTCTATTGATTACTGAATATGAAAATTGGCCTGGAAGGACAGAGAACCTCGAAGGAGAGAGAGAAAATCAGGATTGAAAGTAGAGAAACTTCTAGAAGTTTCCCTATGCGTAAGGCATTACCCAGAGGGAATCTCATCCGTACACACTGTTATGGCGCAATAGACAACTCGTCATAGACTTCGAAACTCGACACCCGATATTCTACTACACTGGCTTCGCCCGTGGATTTCATAATTGATCGAACAATGTTTCACTATACAATGTACGCTCCTACTAGAATTATCTTAATTACACTGTACGTTAATACTAAAAAGAAAAATTTATCACAGAATATAATTAGTCTACTTATGAACGCGACCTAAGAATTTAGCAATAGTTTACATAAGAAAGATACCGTTAAAAGAAAGTTATATGAACAAGGCATAAGAAAAGGAAGCAGAAAGACCGTCAAGTAGAAAAGTGCGCCTCGTAGAATACGTAGAATAATTTGTCCGTCGCGACGCCGACGTCGTCGTGGCCAACGAGAAGTCTGTGATTTATAATCCGTCGGGAGGTATTTCCATATAAATTAGTACGCCACTTGTCTCCAAACGAAATTAAAAAAAAAAAAAAAAAACTTAAGACGGACGATGCAAGTCTGGCTATACAGCCTGAACAAAAATGACGTCACATTAAAAATTTCCTAAGAACGAGTGCACATCCAAGCTGATACCAAGGTAATTCTTTTGTAATTGCTAAAATCAAGTAACAATCCATGCTTTGCACTGGTATAGATATTACGGTGTGCACGTGCCTTAACGAAGCGTGATCATCCCTCATGAAATTCTTCGGTTCGGCGCAACTTCGTTTCGATAAGTTCGGCGCTGCTTTACTACCTGGATTTACCTACCTTCGTTCCAAGTTTTAATTGCAACTCGTTCAATTTCCTTTCCATTAACAAAGGCTCCCCGTGGCACAAGCACTTCAGGTCCCCGCAGTGCTTTCGGTGCTCTCGGTACTCTTTGTATATGATTGATAAGCCTTTGTCCCACGGATGCTGGGGACAAAACGAGAAGGAACGGACTGAGGGATTTTGGTCTGGAAGCCTGAAATTACCGGAGCCAATCCGTGAACGGTTTGGTCGTGGCCAAGGATCCTGTGGTCTTTTAATTTTTTTGTCGTCACGAGATAGCAAAAACCACAGGACTGCGTCTGGCTTTGAATTCTGGAAGGGTCAGTTAATTAACGGGGTTTCGTCTGATTGTCCCTGACTACTCGAATGATAAGTGATAACGGTACCCACGTCTTTTATTAAGGCTCGTATAATAATTGAATACGAATATTTCTACCTTGACCGTAGTATATTTTTGATATGGAGATTTTACGTGATTCACTGGAATTACCAATTTTCCCTGTGTCAATGAAAATACATTAATTTTCTTGTTATCGTCTGACCAGGGCATTCAATTTCGTTTTCATTTACTGTTTATACAATTTTATTAGGTTCTCCTGTTATTCTATGCTTTTTGAACTCGAATCGGCTTAAATCAATAGGTACAGTGATGAATTATTTGATGATATATATTGTCTGATCAGGTTAGGTTCGATACTCGTTATTTCGATAAAAATGGAATCGAGGTGATTTTTAACGTTAATGTTCATATATTTTAGGTCGAATAAAATATTGTTTACTATGTTTATTTAATAAATATAATGTTACATCGTAACGTAAGGAATATCGTATAATTATCATTAATCATTCATTCTTCGTCATCTGCGCCAAAACGAGTTAGGATAAAATTTATAGAATTTGCAAATCGTTTTGTCGCAGCATATATATATACTTTACTTTATATATATAATATATATATATATATAATTCTTCTCTAGAGACAGCACAAACATGTAGTATGTTACAGTATCGTTACACGCATATTTATATCGTCGTAGGAGTTCCTCTCGTGAGTTGAACAATAATTATAAAAATTTTTTTCTAATAATTTAAAAAACAATTTCAAAAATAATGTAAAAATTGAGCTTGCCATCTAGCATTCTCGGCTCGTCAGCGGAACGTCATTCGGGTATCGATCGTTCGGCAAAAATTTTGAGCAAACTCAAGAGTCACCATTCGGTAATACTGATTGACTTAAAAAATACGACGAAAAGAAAAAAAGGAGAAGAAAATGACAAAATGACAATTCTATTTACAATCAGTCGTAAAGCTCGCGTGTCACGAAAGATTTCGCATTATCCGATGATCGGCCATTTTCTTTCAAAGGATCATAAAAGATTTTCTTTAGTTTACGTTAAACCGGAAGTTCGAGTTATTATTGTTCAAGGACTCATATCCTTTTCGTTATTACTCATTGACATTGCGAACATCTTTTTATAATCCTACGATTGCTATTCACTTCCGGTTTTTGCATAAATCTAATTTGAAAACAAAAATTTTTTTACTTACTACACACATATACTATATATATACCTCTTTTCGATCCGACACGCGACTTTGGTCCAGATTCATATGTACTGGCAACGCGATATTAAAAACTCCTTTTTTAAAGCTATCGGATTGGTTATTAACCTCAATTACATTAATTAATTATTTACAAAAATCCATATTGAATATCGCCGATAAATTTCGTCTAATCTCGTCTGGAGAGTCTAAAGAATAAATATCAGAGTCTTCGCTTTCTCGGAATATGTCAAATTCAATATTTATCCCAACCATCCTGGAAGAACGTTCTGTGAAACAACGAAGGTTAAACGAGAATCGGACGAACGCGAAGTTCGCTCGATCGTAATTCACCGCGCATCGTTCTGCGCATCTTGCATTATTTTTCATTTTACTTACACGCGTCGCCATTGTCTCACGGTTACCGAGGACATTGGGCGCATAATTCTTTTGCGTCTTTCTTCTCTATTTTCAGTATCCCTTTCGTACTCGAGAAAGTCTCAGTCGCGAACGAGAACACTCTCGGTCGTTTGTTCCGCGCAATGGCGCAGACATTACGAAAATAGGTAAGATTTATAATCATTATTTCGATATCGGCCTATTACAAATACAATATACTTAGCAAGTCGAGGCTGATATGTACAACATTACGCTTCGTTCGAAATCATTTATGTTACTTGTCCTAGGAGTCATTTTTCTGTGTGTGTGTATATATATATATATAGTATTTATATAAAGAGCAATAGGTGTAATAGGTGTACAGTTTTGTATCTATAGGACGCAATGACGTTAATCTTCTTTGAATAATTATTGTACAAAAGAGACGAACGTTTGTATATGTATAAAAAGTGATGGGAGAAAGCATCGGAGAGAGAGAGAGAGAAAGAGAGAAAAAAATCAAGTGGTACCGAGTGACAGCCGTGTAATTTTGTCCTGGCAATTTCGTTCAGCCATTTGCCATTTGCCGAATAACAAAAATGGCCGCCTGTATTCGTTTATTCCTTTTACCGGCACGACTGATTAGTAATATTTAACGATCCTGGTTGCCATGCAAACACGTGAAGGTACTGGGGTAAGTTACCCTTTATCTTTTTTTTTTTCATTATGAAAACGTTACCCTTTTTCAAGCCTCTTTCTGTTTTTTACTGCTCTTT